TGATTCCTAATCCGTACTGAAAAAAAATCGATTAAAATCATCAATTTAATCAAAATAAATCATAATTGCTAGATTTTCATCGATTATTTGAGGTTCGAATCGATTATAATCAGGAATATGTTGATTTTTCGCGTAAATTTTTTTACATGGGGAATAATACGAATACGATATCGATTGAGCATTGTATGATATCGACAAGAATATCCATGAATTGTTTGATTGCAACAAGATGAAAATATCTCGCTCATATTAATACTTTTATGATACTGTGATTTGAATTGCACCTATACAAAAGCTATACACACAGATAGAATTCGCTTATCATAGATGAACTAGTTCGTTCAATTCTGGAAAAGGATCCTTTTTTAAATTAAATACGAATTCATTCTTTCGCTTTAATTCTAGTAAATAGTACACATGGCTCATTGACTTCGATTGTCTCGATTTCTAAGTAGCGCAAAGATCAGCCATAATGATCGATGAAAAATTTCCAACATATAATGAAAAACATAATCAAATCGTAGGAAATTAATGATGTAAAAAAAACAAACAACTATAATATTGCATAAATAATATATTTTTGCTTCTCTTAGGTTTTCCGAATGATTCAAGGTTTATTTTCTATGAAATACATTTCAATACATGGAGAAACAGTTCGAAAAAAATCAATCTAAAATTTCGTGAGATTCCCTATTAAGATATCTATTAGGTAGTGAATTCAATAGTTTTCTTATTGAAAAATATTATGTATCACCTTCGAATTTTAAAACTATACGAAAAAGCTGAGTACCAAAGAAAGACTTAACCTATTTGCGGCGGTTGATGATAAATATGGAACTTCCCCTTTCAAATGTTGAGTAAAAACGATATTTGATATCAAAGATCAAATAATCTATGATGTCAATAAAACACTTCATGCCAGTTATTCATAACTTATTTTTGTTATCTCTTCCGATATATGTCGTTTATCAAAGATTCGAAACGTCAAGAGCATCATCAGTCAATAAAACGAATTTTTATGATGGCTTCTTATAATTTTCATCAAACTTTGCTCGAGATTGTATATGAAAAGTCAACAGCACGAGTCAATTAGAAGTACGTGCATATCGATCAATCTACTACTTATATAAAATATTTAATAAACAAATATTGTTCTACTCTCAATGTTTTCATGTTCATGTTTTCAGTATCTTTGCTAAACGTTTATCTCAATCGTTAAGAATAATTATGAAGTTCAAGATTACATATGTGTCTCCGTGACACAATTCTGAATTTCACTATTCTAGTCACTACGATAATAAGTTCATGCTTTATGGATGTACATCCTAAACTTACACATTGAATTCAGTGGGATTGCTTGCTCGAGCATTTACAGCTTGTCAATTACAGGCAATCGATCTTTTCAAACTACCCAACTCGATTTATTCAAGTAGTATATGCACATGAAGGAAGGGATTGGTTTTCGATTGAAATATCATTTATGACTCACATCGATTCTATAGTAGCAATACTGTAGTGTACTAGTTAAAAGAGAATTTTTCAGCCTACGCAGTGGTTTCTTGAAGTCATGAGATGGCTTTCCCATTCTTCTATTGTTTAGTGTTGTGAGACTCTTATTACCACAGTTAATATATTCAAATGAAATAACTTAATAGGTTTTCTTTTTACAAGACTTATCAGTACTAAATATTTATGCATTCATATGAATGTTATCTACTACATGCTACTTTAGTTCAGTATTAGTTCTGATTGAAGCAAACAAAAGTAATGAAATTCTTTAAAATATGTTTCATTATTATTTTATTGTTCAATATGCAAATTTCACTATCAATCGGTAATGAACATGTCGAAAATCGTATATTCAGTGTGTACTTAAATAGAATTTATGATTCAATCAAAAATTCTAAAATGCTAAAATATGTGATTTATAGGGTCTCATCTGTGTTGTGACTTGATGAGACTTAATTTTTATCTGATTAATACCCTACAGCAACCAGTTAAATGTTGAATCTTATTACTCATGAAATTTAAGGTTAAAAAGATATATGCAGTAAAATTGTTCGTGTTTGAACAATGAAATGAAATAGTGCAATGCAAAAGTAAAAAGGAATGAGATTGAATATATTTGGAAGTGAAACAAAATTCACTCCAATTCTGCTTTAGCGGCACCTTACATATACTAGTAAAACCTCAATAAAACAATCATCATACACGAACAACTTAAATATTCATAATCAATCATTTTACTAAAGTAGAACAGAATCTGTAGTAATAATTCTAAAGTAAGTTGTCANACTTTCTCTTTGAATAATTTATTTCGCTGTACAACAAGACACTATCATTAACCTGTACCATTTTACTTATATTATCGGCATCTGTAGCAGTGAACTTCAGGATATATTCAGGAGATAATGCTGCTAAAGACTCAATATTTATATCCATAGACATTACAAGTTGTTTGTATTCTGTAATTAATTGATCGATAACTTGTCGACATGTTTTTCTATCCCTATTCAACTCTCCCCAGACGAATCCCCAGCGAGTCCCTGTCATGAGACACCAGGAGTTAAGAAAAATATGAAAAAATTTCTATCGAAACTATCAAAAACCTACGTAAAAAACCCGAAAGTGTCCTCAAAAGCTGCTGACTGATTTCTAAAAACTGGCTGAGAAGTCCCTTCGAAATCCAAGTGAGTAGACAGGGAACCCATAAGGACTTCTACAGGGACTCCTTAGTCAGTTTTTAGAAGTCCCTCGGAAATTTTTGAAGACGCTTTTGGATATTTTACTTAGGTTTCTGATAGTTTCGATAGAAATTTTTTATTATTTTTCTTAACTCCCTGAGGACTCATGGCAGTGACTCCCCAAAAGTTCGAATATTGACGGGGACTCCTTGGGGATTCGTCTGGGAAGAGTAGACTAGGGTGTAGTATTCTGTACTAAAAGAGCTGATTCGCATTTTTCTTTGGTTAATCAATCCGACTGCGACTAATTATGCATCAATGAAGTAGAAGAAATTGTTATTTTACATTATCACAAACACAGAATTTATATATCAATTTGTTCTTATAATTGTTATCAGTTTTTTTTTTACTAGAAAATGTTTTAGGAAAGAAAAAGAGAAAAAACCTTCCATTTCCATCTTCAGAAAACTGCAAGAAATATTTCCAAAATTCACGAAGCCTGAACGCTAAAATTTTTCCGAATCAAAGTCTCAGATTAACTTCCTTTTTTTCTCAGAAAATATCTCTAAATTTTATTCTATTAGTGAGAGATTATCTTTAATTTGGGAGGAAAAGTCTCTTCTATTTTCTTCAAGTCGGAGAAAAACTGATGTCAAAATTTCCAAAGTAGGAGGGGAAACCCCCACCACCTCCCCCCCTCTCTGTTCGCGCCGTCCCTGGCCACAATGCTTCATCTATCTGATATGTGTGTTTAAATCTTCTGCCTGATTTGTTATCAGATCTAGCAAATACTGTGAGGTTTCTAATAAAGTTGCTAGGCAATTGAGTGTTTACATTAAACACCCTTAATTCTGTGGGTCTAACTTAAATGCTACATTAAAACGGATCAGCTATCATGGACAGAGTGTTCTTCATTTATTAGTAGAAATTGTTTTTATTGATACATTAGTCTCATAGGTTTGAAGAGGCCGTCGTATTTTTCTGAATGTAGTCCAGAGTTCTTTTGATACCCAAACTTTGTTCTCTTGCTTTATTCACTATTTGTCGAGATATGTCGGACGACATTTGAACCGTTCTTTTGGTTAAATCAGCTTCATCTGTCACATTCTGGATTATTGACAAATACAGCTGTAAGATGAAGATTTCAGTTCGACAATCGTAACAATGATCAAGACCTTCAGCTTCATCATATTTTATATTGTGTTCATAATACATGATTCTCGTTATGTTGTGGAAATAGGTTAAAGCATCTTCAAATGCAGTACTATCGTACTGTTTTAGTTTTGCGTCTTTCTCAACTAATAGTCGACATTCAATTGTTCGTTTCGATGCCCATGGTTCAATGATGGATTGACCATTAAGATATTCAAATTTACCTGATTTACGTGGAAGTCGAAAATTTAATAAAGACATGGTAGGTTTCAGTAGTTTATGCCAGACTTTTTGATTTTCCATATCTTCGACAGTATCCTGTTCCTGATATTGATATGAATTAAATGTATGAACGTTACAAATAAATAATATATCCGGCGTTGAAGATGCGCAATTTCGTGCAACATCTGTGTCGAATTTTTGCTTTCGAATTGTAATTCTATCGGTTGGTTGTACATCGAACTGAGCTGTGTCGAAGAGAACAAACTTAAGATGTGGGAATAATGAACTTAAGAAATTCAAATGAGAACCGGGTGCAGCTCCAGCATAGACCACCAGAAACTGCCTACCAGCACCATAAGCTGTAAGAAATTCAATTTCTGTTAGAAGTAATTTTCTTTGACCCCAATGTTCAGTCGTGCTTTGATTTTGCATATTGATACTGTTACTAGGAATCTGTTCAGGCGCGTTAGTTAAGATGCGCATTTCATCATTAAATGGATTCATAAATTTAGTTAAACTTCGTCTGTTTAAAAAAACTTCATGAAGATGCGGATTTTCGTCATATATTCTTTTATCTGTTGCATTTAAATTCATACTGTTTACATCAGCATTTTTTTCTAGTTTGAGCCGTTCTAATAATCGTTTCTCATCACCATATAATTCTACTGATAGATTTCTAGCAAGTGCTTGATTTCTAGCAGGCGGTTGGTTTTTAGGAGATGGTTGATTTTTAGCATACGACTGATTTTTGGCAGGCGGCTGGTTTCTAGGCAGTGCTTGATTTCGAGGAGGTGGATCATCTTCAAAAGTCCGCGTTGGAGACATACTATGTTTTCGACGACGAGCCTCTGCCGGTTCGTTTTTGCGATTGTTGAGTTCTCTAAAAAGAAAAATCATATTTTAATCAGTTATAATCCTGAAGAATTGTCCTTCGAACTAAAATATGGTTGATAGTTTTGGAAGATATTATAATAAATCATGTGCAATTGCTTCCGTTATAAATTATTTCAACTAAAATTTTTGGATTCAACGAATTCTAATGCCTACCCTAGTCGAACTTTTTTATTCATGCGCTTGCCAAGACTTGAGCTCAAGATGTGTCCATAGTGCATGACTCTCTTGCTCAAGACTAAGCGTTTGAATGTTTGTATGAGTTACAAAATAAATGGAACTATACATTTTTATTACAAGTTGAGTTTTTTGAAGGTAAAATTGAAAAAACTCTTTAATAACAGAAACGCTTAGATAAAAATTCAAGTGCATGAGCAAGAAGTTTAAGGACTTGAGCCCACCGAAAGGCCTCATGTCTTTCCTCAAGATGTGTCCATAGTTCTTGACTTTCTTGATCAAGAAAGTCAGGAATTGCATGCGCTTGCAAAAAAAATTCGACTAGGGTAGTATTATGTCTAGCACATATTTCTCACCCGACAGATATATTGAGTGAAAACATTCTATCTAGTAACTCATGATGGTATGCATTTCACCATGTATGATACATATGATTATATCAAAATCTAGACTATGTACATGATAAACATTATATGAGTTGACTAACGCTCATTTACGGTTCAACACTGTAGTGCTAATTAGAGGCTTACTAATCAAAATACATATACTCAAACCCCCTTTCGTTTTGCATATTAAACAAACTTCATCCTCATAATCCCTATCTTAACGTCGCAAGTTTCCGCTTAATTTTTCATTTTCGAACGTAATATAAGTCAACATACTGTGGTTTTATGAGAAATAATCGAAACTCTTTCATAAACGATATTGACCATACTATATCATCCATTGCTCGATGGTTGACTACACCTTGGCCATGTCTAGCCAAATTTCTCTTAATTTTTGTTTCAATCCAAGGTGCCCATCGTCTCATTACTGCTTGAAACGAACTGACATCAATAATTCGATAATGTAAGTAATCATGAACTTTTGGCATCTGAAGTTTTAAAACACTTTTATCGATATGAATCGAACTACCAGCTAGTGGACACATCTTCTCTGGGCAATGACGTTTGATCATCCTTAATAATTCATCTTCTACTTCTTCCTTTTTCAGCTTCGATTGAAGAACATCGGCAAATAAACCGTTGCCACCTTCAGTGATATCTGCAAATGTTTCCTGATGCCAATCACCAAGTCCTCGTAATACGGATTTATCAAAATGAATAACCCAGCTACCTTCGAAATATAAAATTAATAATCACAGTTACTTTAATAAACTTTATATTGTCTTTCTTTGTTCGCATTTGAGAAACGAGTAACGTGCTTAAGAACCACCAAAAATCGAAATTATTCTAGCTTCTCAATCAACGAAAATGACTCAAAGAGAAATAGAAAACAATTTACCTTTGTCTAAAATCTGGAAGTCTTTGTTAGTAATAATTACAGCACATTCTAAAATTTCCGGTTCTGCAATAGATGTCATTTCCAAATCAAGCCATACAATATTCATTGACTTTTCTCTGTCTTCATCAGACAGAAAACTCGACGCATCTTCGGCCTGCACTTCACTGGCACCAAGTTGTTTCAATAAATTACACGTCTGATGATCTCCAGCATTAGTAGCTATTTGTAAAGGAGTGAGACCGTCGGAGCCTCGTCGAACATTTATATCTAATTTGAGTTTTGTGATTGCATGATAGATCACTTCATGTAAGTTTCTTTCAACTAATTCATGCACTAGTGAATTTTTCGTATCATTGGTTACATTGCGCCATTTTTTTAGATTTATCAATCCGAAGTCTCGAGCAGCATCATCAAGACGTTTAATCATACTGTTTTGATTTTTTCTTCCAAGTTCAAGCAATTTTAATAATGCTCTATTAACTTGATCCATGGATGTGTGGTGGATGATATATTTGGTTTGAAAGAAGTAACGAAATATAATAAAAAATAAATCTACCCGTTTGTTAATCTATGTCGGAAAGAAATAATAAAAAAATGTCGGTGAAAACGACTTTGTCTATTGGTTGTTGCATTTTATAGGTAAATAGCCGATAAACAAGCATGCGAACGAGTGTAAGAAACGCAAAAATAACACGCAGCGATGTTCTTGAGAATTAAAATAAAAAAAACAGCTTTCAAGCAGAGGATCGAAAAAAATTCACTGAAAGTTTCTTTTTCTCAGTGTCAATAATTTAATGTATGAGAAATGAACATAAATTTCTTTTTTTGGTAAATAAATTTTCATGTAAGACAACAGATTGATTGAAATTAGTTCGTATTCTTAGATGGCATAAAATATTTTCTCAAATCTTTTGACATTTTCTTTGAGAAGCAGTTATAAAATCTTCAGCTCAACGATTATTATCACATTTTGTTATAGGTGATTATAGACATGACCTTGTTTTGCTTGTGTTTCGTGTCTCTCAGAGACAAGCAGACAGTTAACAAACAATAACGACGTTATCACGTTTCTTCTTTTTATATAGCCATGTATAATATAAACTTGTTCTAAAATTAATGTAAAACAAAATTGTCAGTTTAGTTAAAAAGCAAAAAGTATTTTCCACAATATTTACTGGCAAAACTATTAGTAGACTTTTGACAACGGTATGCGAAATGTATAGAATTTCATCATAGTATTGCTTCTATTTTTTAGCAATAAAAAATAAGGCGTAATTCATGATAATCTAATGAGGAATACATTCATTTGAAACTTTCACATTTTAAGTTGCGCTCGAATATATTCGACCCAATATTCTCATTGTTGATTATATATTATATAATCTGATAGAAAAGTAAAATATGCATGACTTGTATTTACATCATATCATCGTCTAATCAAAATGAATGAGTAACTTTTATCTTTTTAAAAAAGAAATCTTTCGAAATCCAGATAATCAGCCATTTGAATATCTTGGATAATTAAATGCTCTAAAAAGTATATAGAAAAATAAATAGTTTACCATAAGATTATATTTGATCACTATTATTTCGTGTTTAGTCGTGTTTGATCATGCGTCGGAAGGAACAATGACTGAAATGATGAAGATTTCAGTTTAATATTCTATATGAAAATAGATTGAATATTTATTTCGAGAATGCAATAGGTCTAGCGCATTTTTAATCTGCAGTAAATTGAAAAGCAAGCGTTTTCATAGAGACCAGAGAACAAAAACGAATCGAGCCGAACCGAACTCGAAAAAGATATTGAAAAAATGAATAAATACAAGTCAATATAGAAAAAATCTAATTAGGTGAACTATCATGTATTTCTTGAAAATATAAGTTGCTGACAATGGTTAAAAGACCTGTGATCAGTTCTTTTACGGAATTAATTCAATCTGTATACGATATTTTTTGTCGTCTTACTTTATGTAATCTTGTTTTTTGCTATGTTCAATGTGTCAATCATGTTCGTATGTGAATAAAAAATTAAAGAATAAATTTGATAATTATCGAATATATATTGCAATGTCAATACAGTCAAACCGAACCGAACCCAAACCGGCTATTTAAAAATGTACTCGAACCGAACCGACTTTAAAAAGAGAAAGACAAACCGAACCGAACTCAAACCAGAAAAAGTCGGTTCGATTCGCTCTCTGATAGAGACGGGCATTGTCAGCGAACATTCGCTATTGGTGTGCTGCATAAAACAAAGCTAGAGACACTTCCATGGGAATATTTCATTATACCTTTTGGATATGAACAGTTCACTTGTAAAGAAACTTTTTATTTATATAAAAAATATATTACATGCTATAAGTCAATTTCCAATCGACAGTTAATAATTATCGTCACACTTCGTCAATACTCTCAATAGGCGAACATAGATTTCATAAGCATTCTTGTCGAGAATTAGCTCAAAAAATGTTAACATACATCTGAATCTCTACTGCTACATCCAAACCGTCTCTTAATAGTCAGTAAGCAATGTTATATGTCACACCAACAACTGTATCAAATAATTGTTCGAGAAAGTGTAGATTGACTCTAACCTGCTGAAGGACCACTTTCAAAGGCTGTATTGTTGATCAAATTTACTGATGGACTAGTGCTCGCTGATACAATGACATTGCCAACCGAGACGGACGCTCTATCGATATCCATAGGGCGTGAACACAATTATATATTATATTTCAATATAAGAGTTCGCAAACTAGATTTAATAGAATAAATGTTTAAATAAATTTTCACTATCAATTTTCGTATAATTATATCTTATTTATCATGAATCTAATGAACACAGAGAAAAAAGGGAAAACAAAACTAGCATATAAGAGCTCTCACTATTAGTAAAAAAATCACTTTAAAATAGATACGACAAAAATGCATAAAAGCATACACTTTTATATTCATATATTTAAATATGATAGTGAGAGATTTTGTCACACTTCGATAACTGATTTCATCTGCGATGCCACTATACATCACAGATTCTTAGAATCAATTTACTAATTAAATGCTATTTTACATGAAATTTATCTAGAAAATAACAATGAATAAGTGGTTGAAATTTATTTTGACGAAAGTCACATGTTCGAAATAAAGAATGGTGAATCGAAATTAGTCGAAAAGCTAATTTTTAAGAAAAATGATTGTCTACAATAAAGATCTTCACTGCGATGATCTTTGTTTCTGTAAAATGATTATCTACCTATAGTACTATTCTTCTTATCAATCTAAATGCAAACAATAAAATTAATTCATGTTAAAATGATTTCTTCGATCAGCCTAAATTTGAAAGTATAGAGTTAATTACTTTAGAAATATAATTCGCACATTAAATTACTATTTGTATAATTCTAAATAGAATAAAGTAGTTGTAATTTATATTAAAATAATAAATTACCTATACATATCTGTTCATGGACCTAAATATATGAAGAAAGAGTTAGTGTATATATAAATATTTTGCCTACGAAGCAAATAATTGTTCAGATCAATCTGACTATACAAAAATACAATTAATCCATTTTACAGTGATTGCTTAGACATAAATGAATTGTTCTGGTCAATCTATATATAAAGCTATATAACATTTTTGAAAAATACTACCACACTCACACCCAAGTTTATTTATATTCGGACTCGAATTAAGCAGCTAGTCCAAATTCCTCAACTCTTAACATATACACTAGTCGACACTAGTCGACGATCTTGACTTCGATCTGTCCAGATTCTTGTTTTCCTTGAATATCAGACAAGATTCTTTGTAATCATAATATTCAGACAAGATTCTTCGAGGCAGGAAAGAAAGAAGATTCTTGTCTGTTATTCAAGAAAAACACAATCTTGTCTGATTGATCGGATAAATAAGAATCACGCAAGAATTACAAGATATTTCAAATTTCTTGAAATTCAGACAAGCTTCTTTTTTCTTTTCTTTTCAACATATCTTAAAGAAAAATATCACGTGATGTCTGTGTATATATAGTTATAAATATACAGAAATTTGAACATTATATATTTTTTTCTAGATGACGCGCTGACGAACTATAACACATGTATTTTTTGAATAAATTCTTTTGTTCAATCGTTTTTCTTTTATTTTTTTTCTTCTTGATTTGTTTTACGCGATATGAATTTTTGTATGTTTCCTTGCACATATAATGTACTTTTTTTGTATTTTTTTTTAATTCGAAATTAAAATATAATAGGACCGAAAGGAGGCAACCGTATGGATGCCTAAATAAAATTTATCTGTATTACAAGGATTTTCTCAAAATAGCAAGAATTGTAAGAAAACAAGAATCTTGCCAAAATGGCAAGAAACAAGAATCATGCCAGAAAAGCAAGAAACAAGAATCATGTAAGAATTGCAAGAACACAAGAATCAGGCAAGAATACAAGAACACAAGAATCTTGCCTGGCGGGACATTTCTTGCCTCGCCAGCCAAGATTGTGTCTACACGAATCTTGCCAGAAAGTCAAGATCTGTTTTTTCAGACAAGAATCTTGTACAGAAGGAATGGCAAAAGAATCTTGTACAGAAGGAATGGCAAAAGAATCTTGTCTGATATTCAAGAAAAACAAGAACCTGGACAGATCGAAGTCAAGATCGTCGACTAGTGTAGCTATATCGAAGTGGATACGTCAGGGGTAATACACTAAAACGACTTCGATAGATATTATGATTTCCAAATCACGATACCCAGTGTAACGATATTATCACATGTATGATAAAAACTTTTCCGATAAAAACATTTTGATATTCAACATGACAAAAAAAAATATTGTTCGTGTATTCGAATGTATGACATCTATAAAAAGCTACTGGTTGATTTTACGATGCTCTTTATTTGCACTTTTTGATTCTTCGCACACCTTGAAAAAGATAGAAACGTGTCTTCATATTACAACTAGTGACATAGGAAAAAAGAACGCAAATATAAGCATTCGAATTATTAACAGTTTGATAGTCTGCTATTTCATTTAGTGTTTCGTCCAGAATGATATTGCTAACAATTTTGGCACTTCTATTACATTTACTCTATCGACTCTATCGACATTTTTTTCCAACGCCAAACATCAATCCCAATGGTAAATACATTTTTATTTCTGGGTGTGACACGGGTTTCGGTCATGGATTAGCTATCAAACTCGATAAACAAGGTTTCAATGTTCTTGCTGGTGTATTTTCTCCTGATAACATCAGTTCTCTCCAAAAGGAACTTTCATCACGAGCTACTGTCTTTCGACTTGATATTACTAAACAAGATGATATTGATACTGCATTTGAATTAGTTAAAGAAAAAACGAACGCATTGCATGCTCTTGTAAACAATGCAGGAATCAGTAAAAGCGGTTTCATTGATTGGATAAGCATAGAATCTATGCGTGAAATAATGGATGTGAACTTTTTTGGACATGTCGCAATAACAAAAAAACTTTTACCTTTACTAATAGCAAAACGCGATTCTCGTGTTGTTAATATTTGTTCCGTTGCTGGTTTTCTTACTGTACCGATGAAATCAGCTTATTCAGCGTCAAAATATGCACTTGAATCATTTTCTGATTGTCTTCGTCGAGAAATGTTTCCGTGGAGTTTACGTGTTAGCATTGTAGAACCTGGACCAATGCGAACACCTATCATTGAAGGGCATGATGAATTTATGAATAAGTTTTGGAGTCATTTATCTGAAGATGTTCAAGCACGATGGGGAGAAGATTTTCTTAGGGTTCAAGCAAAAAATATATCTGAAAATTTTCTCTATCGTCATGCTGAAGATCCGAATAAAGTAGTAGAAGCACTTGAACATGCAGTACTCAATTCTAAACCCGAAATTCGATATCGACCTGGTTGGCAATCAAAATATTTCTTTTTACCATTATCAATGGCTCCAGTTTGGTTGGCAGATTTTATTGTAAATCGAGCGACTTATTCTCATGTTAAACCTGCTGGTGTAAGAAAAAAACATTTAGAATAGAATTAAATGACGCTATCAATGACAAAGAAAAGCAAACCATTTTTAAGGAAAATAAATAAATTTAGTTTTCATCTAATATATATGTCAGTCTTGTTGTCTTTCTTCTTGATCTTTGTTTGAAAACGAAAAAAAACAGTATATAGACAAAAAAAAGATAACAAAAGAAGAATAATTATTACCTGTTCGTAAGACAGGTACGTTTTACCATTTTTTATTTCAACAGTCAATCACGACTAAAGTTAGTTTTAACTAATAAATAGACTATGCTACTGATTATAAGTTTCATATTCATATTCTATATAATCTACATTCTATATCAACATTTCTATCCAACACCAAACATCAGTCCCAAAGATAAATACATTTTTATTTCTGGGTGTGACACGGGTTTCGGTCATGGATTAGCTATCAAACTCGATAAACAAGGTTTCAATGTTCTTGCTGGTGTATTTGATTCTGACAACGTCACTTCTCTTCGAGAGAAACTTACATCACGAGCTACTGTTTTTCGACTTGATATTACTAAACAAGAAGATATTGAAGCAGCTTTTGAATTAGTCACGCAGAAAACCCAAGTTCTTCATGCGCTGGTGAACAACGCTGGTATTGTAACAAGTGGCTACATTGATTGGATTCAAGTGGATACTGTAAGACAACTTATGAATGTGAACTTTTTTGGACATGTTACAATGACAAAAAGATTTTTGCCACTACTTATTGCTAAACGTGATTCACGTGTAGTCAATGTGAGTTCTATTTGTGGTTTTATTAGTCTTCCAGGATCTGCAGCTTATTGTGCATCGAAATATGCACTTGAATCATTCTGTGATTGTCTTCGTCGTGAAATGAGACCATGGGGCTTACGCGTGAGCATTATCGAACCAGGTACCATGCAAACAGCAATGACTGAGCGGTTAGAACAATCGTTGAAAAATGTTTGGCTTCAATTGCCAAATGACACTCGAAAACGATGGGGTGAACAATTTTTTGACAAATCATTTCAGTTAGTAATTAATAGTGCATTTATTCGATATTCTGAAGATCCAGAGAAAGTTATTCGAGTACTCGAACATGCCGCCATCAGTACCACTCCTTACATTCGATATCGACCGGGTTGGCAATCTAGTTTATTCTTTTATCCATTATCTATTCTTCCTTGCTGGCTAGTGGATAAAATGTTTTCGCTTGGATTTAATGCTTGTCCTGATGGAGTCAAGCATCAATTGCTCAGTGAATAGTATGAACATGCCGATTTAAGTCCTATTAGATCTTGTCGGTTAAATAAAAGCAAGCGAAGTTCAAAACAGAGCTAAAATTGATGCAATGTCGTAACTTTCCTTGCTCTTAATCTTTTTTTTTATATTCGCCATAATTTTACTGAACAAATAAACAATAAGTGTGTAGTCAATTGAACAGCAGAGAAATAAAACCATCGCTTAAGACATGAATCCTTACGTATACCAAGAATGAATAGTTTTGGCTTGAAATTAAAAAGAAGAACGACTCTTAATAATTTAGATTAAAGCATCACAAAAAGGAAAACTGATCATTTCCGATATGATATTATCCATGCAAGACAATAAATGAAGTTATACTTCTCTGAATGAAAATTATTCTTCCCGTGTTACATTTTAAAAAGAGAAGCATCGATCAGTGCGATTAACATGGAAAAATAAGCACAAAGGATAAAACATTATTCTCAACATTTAGTGCTTGTTATTTCAAATGAAAAGTTATTCTAATGAATCGAATTGTGTTTTCATCTTAAACTTTCGATCACGTGTTCTTTCTCGTTTTTGCTCTTTACATTTGCTTGATTACATTTCAATACAACGAAACTTTTTTTTTATCCATGTATTTCCTTTTTGATGCGATGTCACATGTTTTTTTTTCTTTTTCTTTCTTATCAGTACTACGCATACTCTTATGCGAAAAACACAACTTGAAAATTTTCTTTTTAATATTCCTATAGTATAAATAGCCATGTGCCTCCTTATTGGTTTTATCGTCATTCTTTACGTCTCCTATCGTTTATATCAACATTTCTATCCAACACCAAACATCAGTCCCAATGGTAAATACATTTTAATATCGGGATGTGACACTGGGTTCGGTCATGGACTAGCTATTGAACTTGATAGGCAAGGTTTTAATGTTCTGGCTGGTGTATTTTCTCCTGATAACATCAGTTCTCTCCAAAAGGAACTTTCATCGCGAGCTACTGTCTTTCGACTTGATATTACTAAACAAGATGATATTGATACTGCATTTGAATTAGTCAAAGAAAAAACTCAAGTTCTTCATGGGCTTGTTAACAATGCAGGGATTGGTAAAGGCGGATATATCGATTGGGTAACATTAGAGCTCATGCGCAAAATAATGGATGTGAATTTTTTCGGGCATGTAGCAATGACAAAAAAATTCTTACCATTGTTAATAGCAAAGCGTGATTCTCGAGTAGTTAACATTACGTCAGTGATGGGTTTGATAACACCACTTGGTATGTCAGCGTATTGTGCTTCAAAACATGCTTTTGAATCATTTTCTGATTGTCTTCGACGAGAAATGTTACCGTGGGGTTTAAAAGTTTCTATTATTGAACCAGGATGGTTACGAACACCAATCATTGAAAATCAGGATCGTTACATACTAGATCTATGGAATGAATTATCATCTGATGTTCGTAACAGATGGGGTGATGATTTTGTTAATGATATGGTTGAAAAATCAATTACAAAAAGTCCCTTTATTAATAATGCTGAAGATCCAATGAAAGTGATACAAGCACTTCGACATGCTGTTATGAATTCTAAACCTTGTATACGATATCTACCAGATTGGCAAGCCAAACTTTTCTTTTATCCAGTTTCGATGCTTCCTTCTTGGTTGTTTGATATAATTGTCATGAAATTGACAAGTTCATCAATAGTTCCTGCCGGTATTAAGAATCAAATTTCAGATTAGCTGAATAAAATTCATTGTTTTAATTCTTAATTTTGCATGTCTTTATCTTTCAATACTATTTTGCTATTCTATTTTACTTATTTATTAAGGTTAAATTTTTTCTGCCTGTAACAATGATTGATAATCGCCAGTAAAAATGCTCCTTTTGAATACGATGGTATTCAAAATTTATTACTTTCGTTCAATGTGCTTCATTTAATCATCATCACTTGCTTATTTGTCTCATCCACAACAATAGTTCGTTTTATTTATTTTCCAAAATCAGAGTGATCTAAGTCAAGAACGAATATACACGTACTGAAGCCTAAAAGATATAATCCACAAGAAATAAGTTAGAAATTAAATAATTCTTTTATGTTATCTTGCATCTCTCTTGTTTTCTTAAAGAGAAATCTCCCAAGAAAAGCAGTAGCTTAAATTCGTTTAGCTACATGTACAAAACCAATTGCTGCAATTTAACTGAAGGCATATAAACAATAAAATATTATTTTCTAACTTATAATAGAATAAAGTAGATGCCAATCATTAATATGATTACACTTAAAGAAACGTTTTGAGAAAATACTTTGAACTGTGGTTAATTTTTTAAGTTATCGTTGCTTCAAAGCATCTTATAACTTTCATGATTTCTAAGTAAACAGTCCTAACAAAAAAAAATCTTTTATAATTATCATGAAACAATATTATCGCGTCGTAAATATATGTTCAGCCAGTGGCTTCTTTGCTCTGCCAAATACATCTACTTATTCAGTAGCGAAATATACATTAGAATCATTTTCTGATTGTCTTCGCCATGAAATGACTCCATAGGTTTTGTCTATTAGTATTATTGAATCTACTGCTCTAAAAACATTTATGAGCGAAGTTTATGCATCTATTTTACGAGATGTACGGAAACAACTTTCAACTGATATTCAACAGCGATGGGGAATCGATTTTTCAAATAATTTAATCACTCAAGAAGTCAATAGTCCTTAAATTACGCACGCTGATTATCCAGATAAAGTCGTACAAGTTGTTCGACATGCTGTTATGAATAGAAATCCTCGTATTTGTTACCGAACAAGTTGACAAATCAAATTATATTGTATTATGATACATTTGATACCAATTTGGCTAGTGGATAAACTTGTTACTATATTCTTAAATTTTGTTTCTGCTGGTGTAAAAAGTGGCACCCAATGTAAAGAAGACGTTGCTATTTTTTCTGCTTGCACAGCGAAAATACATGAACAACGATTTTATCAAAATGAAAAACAAATGTTTGCCAATTCAAAAGATATAAAAATTGATTTTTCGTTATTTTAATCCTCGTCACAGACTAGAATTACTATCAGTAACGTTCTCATAATATTGGATATTATTTTAATTCAAAATAATAATTCAAAATAACTGTTTTATATAAATATTAAATTCATTTTCGCAAGCATATTCTCTATTATATACGAATACTATTCTGTATACCAGCGAGGATTATACAAAAACAGGCGTACTCGTTTCATTCCACTATTTAATCATAAGAATTTGACAAAAAATATATTACAATGCAAATCTTTTCATTTTCAATCAAATCTTATTTAGTCACGTTGACAATGTGTTGCATACTTGTAGTTTGTGTCTTATTATGTATATTACTTGGATATATAATTAAGTATAATATTCATCTTAAATTGACGTTTTCGTAAAAGAATTCTATGGTAACGTCTTGTGCGAAAGTTTCTGGACAAAATGTTCGTTCATTTTCCGATCAAATGCAAGAGTTAGCCAAATTTTAAAAACATTGCATTAGAATCAAAATTTTGTGTTCTCTCTGAATCTGTGTTCAGAATTTTTGTGAGGCACTCAGATTAGAAATTATACTTGCAGTTTTGAAAGGCGCGAAAATAAAATTTGGACGAAATTGCATGAACTGAAAAATTTAGAGGCGGAAAATCCGATCATGTCCGATTTGAAATTGATTAAATGATATTTTTCTTGTTTTCTAATTAAAGAAAGCCATTATAACTTAGTTCCAGTTTCCTTTGCTTAATCACATAGCAGTTTGGATCTTTTTCGATCAGTATTTGGGTTGTATACGCCCTTCAAAAGTGATAATTAACTTATTATATATTATCCATCTTTTTTGACAGTGTAAAGAGCATGATGGTCCTCCAGAAGCTGAGAATTGATAGTTTTTCACCAGTTTTTCAGAAACAATGAAGGTAATTTTGATATGCGAAAAATAATCATTTTCAAAAACGTCATTGAACCTTTTACTAAGACTCTTACTATTCGAAGAAGCTTCAAAGGAGACTAATTATTAGGATACAGTTTTATAAGGAAATCTTTGCTGTATCTCCTGCAGTACGCAGAATAATTTTTTACATCTATCTTGGATTATATTTTTGGTATTGAAAACCGTCCAAACGTTATTTTCGCGCGTTTCAAAACTTCAAGCATAATTTCTAATCTAAGTATCTTAGAAAAATTCTGAATGCAGATTCTGAAATAACACAAAATTTTGATTCTAACACAGTGTTTTTAAAATTTGACTAACTCTTGCAATTGATCGGAAAATGAACGAACATTTTGTCCAGAAACTTTCGCACAAGACGTTATTGTTGTCGCTTTTGTCCTCTTTCTTTTTATTTTATCTTTCAGAGTATGAAAAGTATGATGAAGTACGACACAGTATCAAAGTATACATTGTCGATGCATTTTGTTTTCTATAATGTGCTAATATCATCGAAACAAAGACAAAAATAAGAAGAAAGACTGAAATAAAGAAAAAGAACTAATATAAGTTTCAAGGTAACTGCGCTTGCTTTACATTCTTTCACGTGGTGTTTCGGATTCGTTGATACTATTATTGTGGTCGTAGAAGTAGATTATAGACACAATAAAAAGAAGGTTACTTGTGCGTGTTTTTTTCTTCATTTGTTTTTCACGCAACGTCGTCATGTGCCTCCTTATTGGTTTTATCATCATTCTTTACGTCTCCTATCGTTTATATCAACATTTCTATCCAACACCAAACATCAGTCCCAATGGTAAATACATTTTAATATCGGGATGTGACACTGGGTTCGGTCATGGACTAGCTATTGAACTTGATAGGCAAGGTTTTAATGTTCTGGCTGGTGTATTTTCTCCTGATAACATCAGTTCTCTCCAAAAGGAACTTTCATCGCGAGCTACTGTCTTTCGACTTGATATTACTAAACAAGATGATATTGATGCTGCATTTGAATTAGTCAAAGAAAAAACTCAAGTTCTTCATGGGCTTGTTAACAATGCCGGGATTTCTATCAGTGGCTATGTTGATTGGATGTCTATGGAATCTTTACATAAAGTAATGGATGTAAACTTCTTTGGACATGTTGGAATGACAAAGAAATTCTTACCATTACTTATTGCGAAACGTGATTCACGTGTTGTGAATATTTGTTCCGTAGCTGGCTATCTGGCGTTATCAAATATGACTGCTTATTGTGCATCGAAATATGCACTTGAATCATTTTCTGATTGTCTTCGTCGAGAAATGGTTCCATGGGGTTTACGTGTTAGTATTATTGAACCAGGATTTATGCGAACAAAAATTATTGAAGGAGACGGAAGATCTTTTTCAGACTTTTGGCAGAATCTTTCGACTGATGTTCAAGAACGATGGGGTGAAGATTTCACTAAAGCTAGATTGGTTGCTGCAAGAAATAACTTATTCTTGAAACATGCTGAAGATCCTATGAAAGTTGTGCGAGCTCTTCAACATGCCGTCGCAAATACAATGCCTCATATTCGCTATCGACCTGGTTGGCAATCAAGTATGATATTTTTTCCATTGTCGATGCTACCGGCTTGGAGTGTTGATTGGTTTTTTGGCAAGTTGATGAAATCAACACTGGCTCCTGCAAGCATCTCCAAACAACACAAAGAATAAAGCTAATACTTTACGCGAATTAAATAGTTATTTTTTTTCATGAGTATAAAAGATGAATATTTTCGTTTTAATTAAATATTTCGAGAATGAATTTTTATATCCAAACGATATTTCTTGAATATTAATCTGAAGTTTAAATAATTAGATATATATTCTTACTAACTATTTTAATACTTTTATGATATGTTCAAAATGCATGGAATTCTTGAAGATCCTTGAGAAATCAAAGTTTTGAAATATCGAAGTCGCTTAAATAATGCATCTGAATAGTGACTTAATGATCGTGCAAATCGATTTTATTTCAGATCAGAATGAACAATAAGAAATTGTTGGAAAAAAATGTAAATATATCACTGCCTAATTATATAAAATATAGAGACCCTTTGATAGTGAAATATAGCAACAAGAAAATAGTTAACTTGAAACTCACAAACAGGATTACAACACATGGTTAATGTTCTTGCTTTTTGTCTCATTGGCTACGTAGACGATCAGTTGCGTATATTTATTCTCACTGGTATTTGAAGTGCAGGATTCCATATGTAAACTTTATTTCCAACTGCTGAATAGAATACAAGAAAATATCAACACTATTGTCAGTCGTAAAGTCCAAATGCAATAGAGGCAAATCACTTTCGTCAGTAATTAGAGTTAATAATTTTTAAGTGTCTGAATTATATTTAATTAATAGAATATGTTTTCTATTTTTCAATAGAAATAACTTTAATATGTTTAATTCGTCTAAACCAAATCCACATGGTATCTTCATCTAATTAAACTTGATCCTCGTACCTTATCTATTAGGACTCTAATCAACATTGCAAAGTACGATACAAAGGGCGAAATAGACATTGTCAAAACGTTTTTTTTCTCTATGACGCATTTATATCATCAAAGCAAATAGCAAGCAAACAGAAAGAAAGAAAGAAAGAAAAAAGCAACGTCAAGAGCTTTCACGTAGTCACATTTGCCTTCCGTTCTTCCACGTGGTGTTCTTGATTAGCCAATACGATTTCTGTAGCAGTAAACAAACATACAACTGAAATGAGTATAATAAGAGCGTAAATTGTGTATTAGTTGTTATTTGCCTTTTTGCGTAGCAAGATGTGTCTCCTTATTGGTTTTATCATCATTCTTTACGTCTCCTATCGTTTATATCAACATTTCTATCCAACACCAAACATCAGTCCCAATGGTAAATACATTTTAATATCGGGATGTGACACTGGGTTCGGTCATGGACTAGCTATTGAACTTGATAGGCAAGGTTTTAATGTTCTGGCTGGTGTATTTTCTCCTGATAACATCAGTTCTCTCCAAAAGGAACTTTCATCGCGAGCTACTGTCTTTCGACTTGATATTACTAAACAAGATGATATTGATGCTGCATTTGAATTAGTCAAAGAAAAAACTCAAGTTCTTCATGGGCTTGTTAACAATGCAGGGATTGCTGTTATTTCTTACATTGATTGGACATCAATGGAATCTTATCGTCAAATAATGGATGTAAACTTCTTTGGACATGTTGGAATGACAAAGAAATTCTTACCATTACTTATTGCTAAACGTGATTCACGTGTTGTCAATATTTGTTCTGCTGCTGGTTACATTGCAACACCAGCTATGTCTGCTTATAGTGCATCGAAATATGCACTTGAATCATTTTCTGATTGTCTTCGTCGAGAAATGGTTCCATGGGGTTTACGTGTTAGTATTATTGAGCCCGGTTTTATGCGAACACCAATGCTTCAAGATGATGGAAAATCATTTTCAAGAATTTGGGATAATCTTTCTAGGGATGCTAAAGATCGATGGGGAGAAGAATTTGTTAAAGCCAAATTAAATTTTGTTATCAATGGTTCACTGGTAAAAAAAGCTGAAGATCCTATGAAAGTTGTACGTGCTCTCCAACATGCTATTATGAGTTCAACTCCTCATATACGTTATCGACCTGGAATTCAATCAGCATATGTATCTTTTCCGATGTCCACATTACCGGCTTGGCTTACTGATTGGATTTTGCGTAAATTACGGGGGTCGAATCATATTCCTGTAGGCATTAGTAAACAACATCACGATTAGTGGTGATCAGAGGGATATGATACATATATTTTAAAATACATAGACAGCAGTTTTGTTTTTGAAATATAAACTCCTATTTAGAGAGAAATGATAGATTTATTCACATAATAAAATTTAATTTTAACTGATGGTTATTAAAGATTATCCGTAAGTTAACCGAGTCAAACATCTGCTCTTGGTGACAGTTAGTTGTAGGACTGACATATTTATGATGGGATATGAATGTACTAGCTGATGTGATCAAACTATGAAAAAGTCTTTTTAATAATGGCTATTTGATTTTTCATGAAGAAAAATGGATTTCAAAATCCGAAGTTTTAGGGCGAGTGCTACTGTTCATGATTCAATAAAACTAAACTTTTCAAGGTCCTTAGTCACTATCGATCTAAAAGTATCACACATTTTCATTAATAATGTGGCAGTTATGAAATGTGAAAGTTCACCGCAATTCTACATAATATTCATATATGTGTCGGAGTTGACTTTAAAATGTATCATCATAAAGTTGTTATTGATATGATAAATAGCATTTTATTCAATAGATGAGGTTTAGACAAAGAAATGAACATTGAAGAGAAACATAACTATAGCCAACAAGAAACTCTTGAATCCATTAGTAATAGATAACCTAAATTGCGAAAATAAGTTTAAAAATACTAAACAACCTGACGATAGATTACTTCATGCCACGTTTTATCTGTTTCCAGGTGTCCGACTGATAAATGACATTCATTGAGAGTTTCAAATAGATTTTCATATTTTACAATTGGCAATTTTTCTTTTCCTGAATACACCATGGGCTGATCATTAATTTTAAGGGTAGTAAAACGTTTTTTGCCCAAAAATTAAATTGAGGATCGTATTTGATTTCAGTTGAGAGTACTTGTACAATTTTTTCATATATTTCAGCTGTTATTAAGTGCTTCGCTTGTCGTTTAGTATCCAACTTATTTAAATAAGTATCTAGCTTTGAGTAGAAAGCCGCCTTCATTATTGAATGAACTGATGGTTTGATAGTAAATAAATAATTCTTTGTTAACTTCAGATCGAAAAGTTTCCATCAGTTAAACAATTCATTATCGATTAGCGCATAACAACTTCACGATTATACATTTTAAAATCAACTAGCTCCATCCAGTTGATTTTAAAGTCAACTAGTTGACTCTTCAATTTAAAGACAACTGGATTTTAGAGTCAACTCCGACATATATCTATTGAACTCAAAACGTTGAAGAAAAAAAGAATAGAATATTATCGAATCTAAAATTGAGATTTAGTTTATTTTCATATGAAAAGCTATGATATATTATCTTCTGTGAATAATTAGTGAAAACAAGATAACACTGCAACATGTTCACAAATAATTTTCAAAAAAACAGATGTATCCAACAAGCATTGCTATATCGTGATTTCTGTTCTCCGATTTGTCTTGAATAGACAGTTCTTTATAATATAGATTTATATAATATCTCAGAGAAAAGTATGCACACATGAAGATCTCATTCATACTGTGCATAAATCAAGTTAATTTTAATAAAAATGCACTTTTATTTATAGACTATAAAGTTTTTCTACGAGCATAAACATCCTGTGATCGTATACAAGAATAGATTACAATAACTAAATTAGATTATAGAGAACAATAGTAAGATCAGTGAAATTGAAGATAGTCGGTTGAAGAACATTTTACGACTAAAGCATATATTCAGTCGTAAATAGAGCTAAGACAAAAGTTATGCCTCATATTTTTGTGTTTTAGTCCTTTTTCAAATAGTTTTACTTTATGCTTAGATAGAATTTCATGTCAAATATCAGAGTTTATGTTTTTGGCCTTGGAGATTGGAGAGCATTCATTTTGATACACACACTACGAGCATACATTCAATTTTGAAAGAAGAACAAGTTGCTCTGCTCTCTCAACCATAACATGAATGCACATACTATACATGTGAGTATGAGCGACATATGAGTAATAGCTTCATTTTTTTCTCTTTTTCTTTGTTCTTCACTATTTCAATATACACACTTGATATGAAAAAACGGTACTTAAAACATTTGACCAACTACAATAAATTTCTATATCAAACACATCAGCATGTTCATCGTGTATTTATTTTAAATTTTTTGAATAATGATCGATTTTATGATGTTTTCTATATGGATTAATATCATTAGAGATTATGAGAATATTGTTTTTCGTAGTAAGATATTCGAGCATCAGAAAATTGAATGATATAAATTGATAGAAGAAATAAAAATGCATCAGATAGATACAAAATGTTTCTTAAAAAAATAAATAAATGCCTACTCATATTTATTTTAGAGTGATCATCTTGATGTATATTTTATCAATTTTTTGGCAACAAAAAATACCAGTGTGGGATCGCCTAATATCTAAATGGCTTTTGTTTATTGTCTTGGTGAATTTTGCTAATGCATTCATACAAAATGATGATCCGTCAGAGGTAAATAAATCGAACAGTCTCAAACAGAAGCCTAAGGGAACTCAAAAAAACATTTATAAATATAGATCATTGCTATTATTATCATGAGCTGTAATTAACGTCAATTCTTCTTTTCCCCACTGTATGTGCTCCTCCGCTAGTGACTGTTTGCTACTGCTGTACAATGCTTTACAGAATCTTTCTATAGAATTTCTATCACAGCTAGCATCAAAACATAGACATACCCTTTTAACAATAATGAAAAAACTTGAGCTATTAATTTCAATCTAAAATAGAGTTGAAAGGACAATATTTTGAAAGATTCATTATATATTTAGCAATCCGAGAGATAATACCATTTAGTTTAGATGTATCTTTGTTAAATAAAGAACTATTCTGTATTGATGCTTCTTTTACCTCTGTTAAATGTCGAATTACTTCAAAAAATCACATATATAAATACTTTACATTTTTAGATTCTCGACATTCAACCGAAGTGTGTACTGGACGAGCAGGCAACATTTGCAATCAGCAGAGCAAAAACAGATTATTGTAAGACATATTTGAAAGAAATCTCATGTGAGATTGCTTCAAATCCTAATTTCTTTCCATCTTCATTACCTCGATTTTGTCCAATCAAAAGTAATGTTTTCATTTTGATAAATATGAATCGTAATTGTAGTTTAAACAGATGGTAATTTTGGCGAAATAATTGGGTGTGCTTTGAATACTTCAATTAACACAACGAGCTTCATAGCACATAATTTCAATACTTCAATCATGTGTATAGATTTTTGCTTAAAATATGAGGCACCTTTTGCTGGTGAGTTATATATGAAGATTCAAAATTGAGCACAAGCAGACTTTTAAATAAAACGATGGGAATATAAAGAAAAAAGTTGACTTGCTTTTGAGAAATGATATACGTATAGCATGTCATTTGATAATTATCGCTGTAAAATTCATTAACTTCAAACGATTTCTATTTCAAATAGCATACGGTGAGTTCACTGGCCATTGTAATTGTTGGAGAATATTTAATAATGCATCGGTGAGCAATATATTTGCAATTAATCATACATGTTCAGATTGGTTTGCCGATAATGATAATGGCAGCATTGCTGATACAGTAACACTTTACCGAACTAGTTTTGTACCGGTCGGAACTGGATTCAAACCAGAAGCGCCACCAAATCAAATTTCTTTAGTGTTTTTCTTTCTTGTCAGTGGCCGAAAAAGTCTGCGACAAGTAAAAAGATTAATGCGGGCTATGTATTCAACTGAACACTATTATATCTTACATGTCGATAAGGTATGTGTTACACTAATTAATTTAACTATTTCATCTAGTCAATGCAGATGGAGTAATTCAGTGGTCTCAAATTTCATGCTCTATGATTCATGCTTTTTGCATAAGTAGAACGTATTCGTGCTCTTAATCAATATAGCAAAAACAATATAATCATCTTCATCAAAATGCTTCCTACAGAAAAGATGTTATGGCTTGATTTTGCCAAATTATATAGTTGAAATAAGTATGATTTATTGGGAGAAAAAAAGATCACTTCATGATTTCAAGAATTTGTTAAGTAATGTCTAAAAAAATGATAGCCACTTTGATAGAAGCCATCTGTCTATTTAATTTTCAAACATAAGATTGTTAACAGTGACTGCATGATAATATGCTGATCTTTCTTATTTTTTTTTGTTTGTCGATACAGAATGAGCGCTATTTATATCGTGAATTATCAAAGTTATGTGACCGATATTCAAACATTGTAATGGCAAAATTTCGTTATCGAACAACATGGGGTTCAACGACTAGGCTTTTAGCTGAACTAGATGTGTACAAACAATTAATTGAAGATCTCAAATGGAATTTTTCATTCGTTATCTCTATGAGTGAAAGCGACTTTCCAATCAAGTATGTGAATAGTTGAAAATACCGAAAGTCATACTCATTAGTATTAATTTGATAAAAATAGGCCCACTGAGGAATTATCTGAATTTCTTTCCATGTTTCCAAATAAGAATTTTATTGTTGGAGACATTGGTAATACAACTGAGTATGTAGAATATTTCATTAGGATGATCTAACTAAAATATTCATTTTAAAAATGCATTGTTTTTCCAGAATGCTGGAAAGCAGCGAAACGAGGAGTATATTTGTATTTTGTGATAACTATTTATATCGATTAGGACACAAGAAATTCATTCAAAGTATATTTTATATAAAATGGCAATCAATTGATAGAACAGCTGAATCCATTTAGATATTGTCTATGAATTCGGCTCCGATTGGACTATATTGAGTCGTGATTTTATAAATTATGTTACATACGGTGATGATGAATTGATTCGTGGTTTGCGATTAACATTTAATTTTTCAGCGCTTCCAAGCGAAGTTTGTTATGATAGGAAAATTATCGAATTCATTGGATTTTCTTTTCTTTTCTAGTCGTTCTATCATACTGCGGTGATCAATAGTGTATATTGTGATAAATACATTCGTCATAATTTGCGCATGGTGAATTGGGATCGTAAACGTGGCTGCACATGTTTTAATAGAGATGTCGGTGATTTATGCGGTTGTTCACCAGTGATCTATCGAAGAAGTGATAAAAAACTATTTGCCGTAAGTAGAAATATTCATTAAACTTCAGTAATAGTAATACAGTGGCTGTCAATACATCAAAGTTATTCGAAAATGTGACTAAGAATCGGATTGAAAAATAATGTTTCGATGATAATCAATGCCAAACACCAATCATTCGACTGCGTTTGCTATCTACCATTAAAACTCTTCTTCGAAAAGATGAGGCTAACCGCTATACTTATAATCATTCTAAAAAACAACATATTCAAGCATAATGCAGCTCATTGGAGGGTATTTTCTGAATTTTGTCTGTTCACTATGGGAAGAGCTTTCAGGTTGAGTCGTATGTAATTACAATCAAATGCTATTTGAAGGATAAAAGTGCGCCCCCTTGCAATTGTCACCTCTTAACAAGCATTGCCATCTGTGCAATCTGGACACTAAAATATGCATAACAATTTGTTTAAATTTAAAGTAATTGTAATTTCATTTCAAAGATGCAAATAGGTAACACAGTGACGCAATCTACTTTCATGTGCATCTAATTCTAGGGAAGTACTGACAAACCGATATTTTTTGCTCGAAAATTTGATCCAACTATTGACGAAAATATCATCGATTGGATTGATGAAAAAGTATTCGGCATAGATCTATCCGACAGTAAGACATATAATTACTTCACTCATATTGTATATAATAATAATATATTTAGGTGCTTTGTATTTACAAAATTTTTATCATGTAGAAGATAGTCTTACTAAACTAAACGATATAAGTGGCGCATTAAAATCTATTGAATTATATACTCGAACAATGTTAGTTAAACATCCAAAATTTCATCCTGTGCGTAGCATTGAACTTCAACAAATTCATGCAGTCTTTGAGTTAGGTGTATTTCAAGGTAATAAAATCGAATAGAATTGTCTTTGTTAATCTCATTCCTGTTTTAGGCTATACATTTCAGTATACAATTGATGATCGTAACGATTTTGAAATATTTGTAACACAAAATGCGCACACAAACATATTTTCAGACTCCATCAAACAACTTGATGTAAGTAAAACCAATAGTATAGATCATTGTTAAAAATATCTATCATTATTCTAAATTTTTAGATCGGTTTCACTATTGACACTCGAGACACTGTTTTTATTGATCGTAGTCGTACATTTCTTGATCCAGTGCTTGTGACAGTGCTTTTTGAATGGAAATATAAAACAAATGAAGACATTTCATTAGTTATGAAAGATCCATCTGGTAATAATCCAGAAAAGTTTTTCACCAGAATGATGTGCAAATGAAAAATAGGAAAAATGCATTGAGATGAACTATTTATTTTATTTTGTTGTTGTAGGAATCGTCGTTACCCGAATGCTCGTTGAAATACCTGAAGATATACCTATAGTGGATGTTATGTTTCCCGAGATAACTACCGAGTGTATGATAGGTATTTGGAGTATGGATTTGGTATCAAATAGATTCAATAATACATTAGCTTCATTAGATTTTCTTATTGTTTCTGTGAATGAAATGGAAACCAATAATGATGATAACAATTTGAGCATAGATGTTAACATTGTTGATAAATTTTGGCCAATTGCTGGCATATGTTCAGTTAGAAAAGATACAAATGTTTGTTCGAAACGAGGGTCTAAAATGAAGACGATTCCATATGAGATCAATGATTGTGATCAAAATCGATGGAGTGCATTCTATTACGATGTTAAAACTAATTGGTGATCGAAAATAAAGACAAAATAGCTAGTTATTTATTTTTTATTAAACTATGCTAATAAAGAATTTAAAAATAGGCAACAAAATTTTTGATCAGTAGAATAGATGAAATGATCAGTAAAAAAAACATGTAAATTATCAGTTCAAAGGTTGAATGATCAGTCCTTAGATTACCAGTAAATAATATGAAAATGATAAGTTTATTAAATAGAATAACAGTAATAATATCAACTTCTTCATCTGATGAATCACTTATATACTGAGCAACTTTTTGTGTAACTTCCATCTTTTTTGCTATGTGCTGCTAGGATGAAGTTGAAAGAAAAAGTATAAGAAAATTTATGTATATCGTTTTAGTTAGCTGTTTATCGAACTAGAGAAAGAAAGAAAGCAAAGAACAAGTGAATCACACTATAGCCTGTTTTTGTTTATTTTACTTATCGTTTGATATAGCTGACTGTTAAAATATTTTATTTGTTAATCATAAAATTTATTAAAGAATGATTTTATTTAATAACCGATCATTCAAACAGTTTACTGGTAGTTCAATATATTTACTGATCATTCATTCAATCAACTGATTTTATAATTTTCTATTTTCCTGATCATGGCATCTATTTTACTGATCAATTAAATCCATGCCGTTTTTAAACAGTTTTACTATCTTGTACATTATAAAAATGATGTCATTTTCCCTCATGTATTTTTAGGGAATACCGACTCCCTAAAGTATTTCTGCCATGCACTTTTCGATTAGATTCATAGTAGTTTTGATACAGTTTGAGCCGTATTGTTCTGTTTTAATGTAGATATTAAAACTATACTCATGAATAGTATCATTTTCGAATTGAGATTTCATAGTGATTACACTTCGAACAAATATTATAAAAACGGCATTCAGCTAACTCCTTGTTTTAGAGAGACAGTATCGATCATTTGAGTATGCTGTTTTATGCGAAGCAAAGAAAGAAAGCAAAAACTCATTTTTATGATTGATGCAAAGATCAAGGTCTCCCTCGAATCAATTTTAAATTGAAAACCGGAGCGTTAGTGTAGCCAATCATGCGCGAAATTGATAAAAATGTATAGCTTTTGAAAGAGCTAACTAGAGCAATGTTTCTGAGACTTTTGTTTACTTATGGTTATCTGAATACCTACCAAGTCTTTTGGCTGCTTTACTTACTCCAAGTATTCTCTAAAATATTTTGTGCTCGTATGTTGGAATCAAGTCAGAGGCAATTTCGAATAATATTCTAACAGTTCTTTTGTTGATCATTGCCAGTCGATTGTTCGATTGACAGCCACAACCCTGCTAAGAGCATGACTAACAATCTCTTGGAATACATGGGGCAGGCGAGTTTGGAATAGTGTTTTCTTAATCTTTTTAATAGAATTTTTGTTGAGATCTGACTTTAGAAATTTTTATATTGAGAATTATTCTTTGCATCTTTTTACAATGAGTTTTTGAATAATTCAACTCTGTCTATTTTTTTTAACTATGGGGTCATTGAATTTATCTGAGAAATATTTCTTTTCTATTCTGTTTTTCTATAACCTATTATCACGAGCAGAAAAAAAGAAAAAAATATTTTTTCGATTAATTATTTTTTCGCTCATATCACGAGCAGAAGAAATATTTTTTTTGATTAATTATTTTTTTCGCGCATTCCAATCTCAATTGAAATTCTCATGTCAACTGCGACATACATCTAAAATTGCCTCTGCCTTGATTTAAACATAAGAAATTGAAAAAGTTGGGATAGCTGTTAAATAGATATTTTCACAGAGATCTTCCTCAAATGGCAGTTGAGAAAATACTTTATTTTAAAATGCAAAAGAAGATCTGTCAAATATTGTGAGTCGAATGATTTCTGTCTGCGCTTTATTTCTTTGCTTACAACTATTTTTCATAATTCAATTAAAAGTGTTGAACAAAACATTGCGGATAACTAAAATACATTTGAATCCGATAAAGTACTTTGACATGTGTAGAGAAAGGACTGATGGTTAAATAGATTAGATTCTTGAGTTCTTGAATATTTTGAAATTTATTGATGATTAAAAATAGTAACAGCAATCATACAAACATTATCCAAGAGTTTTATCGATTTTGAATAAAATAAATCGATTGATTCCAATTATTTGATAAGATGTTGCAAAATATTGTAATAAGGTAATGAAAAACAGCAGGAAAACTTCGTATAAACTCAATCTACATGAATAGGAAAAGTAAAAAAATTCGTTTAAAAGATTTTCTGTTTATTCTAGTAATTTAATCGTTTACATAAAATCATACGTTTCAGTGAATGACTGATCAACCCAACGACAAAAGTGTATTGTCATCAATTGTTACTTTCGAAAAAACATCCGATTCTCTTAATGTTAGTCAAAATGTAATATACAACGAACAAAACGAACAATCAACTGAGACAAGAGTCTGGTCAAGGATTATTCCTTTCGGAAATACTTCTGATTTTCTTTGTTCTAATCAAAATATTATATATGACGAACAAAATGAACAGCCAGCTGAAGCAAGAGCATGGTCCACATATCAGAGTTCGAATTCAGAAAATGTTCTTAGTGAAGGTCCGACAAGACAACAAAAAGTTATTCTTTCTTCGACACTACAGGATCAACAACAACGATCAAACGAAGATCATCGTAGTGTGGAACATATTCTTTCCTATGTTGATCGCCGTCGATCTCCTCGTCTGAAGAAATATCGCTTAACATGGCGTACATTCATTGGAACCATGTCTGGAATGGAGCAAATTTATGCACGAGACAACTTTCTTCGTTGCTTTGAAGAAATTCGACCTGCCTTTATTTTCACGGATTCAGTTTTTCGAGGTATTGGCCAAGTGATGTTTGCTAATAATCCATTGTCAGGTATTATTATTACAATTGGTTTATTTATTGGAAATTGGGAATTAGCATTATATGGTCTTCTTGGAACGTGTGTATCAACATTAACAGCTCATGTGCTTGGATTTACTCGTGATTCTATTCGAGCTGGATTATATGGCTATAATGGATGTTTGACAGCTATGGGGATATCCTATTTTAGTTTTCCTCATTCTCCTCAGATGATTGGTCCTGTTGTAATCATGTGTATATTTTCAACGATTTTTGTTATGGGAATCAGTAAAATACTTGTTCAAAAACTCGAAGTCCCACCATTTACGTTTGCCTTTCAAATATGTACTTGGACATGGCTTCTTGGTGCCTTGAAATTTCGTTATTTTTTCGTTGACGGCACTATTCTATCGCCTAATTTATTATCAACATTCACTGATAAACCCAATCTGGGAAATGTCTCGTTTCCAGTCTATACAATTCAAGATAATTTTGTTGGTTTCTTTTCTAGTATTGCACAAGTTTATTTTATTGATAATCCATATACGGGCGCCATTATTCTTGTTGGTGTTAGTATTTGTTCTCGAATACTTTCTTTTTTTGCTCTCTTCGGTGCTGTTATAGGCCAATTAACTGCAGCCTATCTGTTGGGATTACCTGCAAAAGCAATTCATGCTGGATTATGGGGCTTTAATTCAGTTCTAACATGTCAAGCTTTGGGCGGTATGTTTTTTGTTCTTCATGGATACAGAATATGGTTATTAACATTCTATGGTGCAATCATGTCAGTACTTCTACAAGCAGCTGTTTCAGCTTTTCTCGTTCCAGCAGGTATGCCAACATTAACATTTCCATTCACTGCCATCTGTTGGATATTTTGTCTTATTGCTGGTTCAAAAAATTTAATTGCTGTCCGACTGACAGCCGTCAGTATTCCTGAAGATCACTATCGTCGATTTCGCCTTTCAAGATTAGTGAAAGCTCAATTTAAATTCATAAGCCATTTGACAGATCTTTCATCAGCGCACGACGAAGATATAACATGGGAAGAACTTTTCAAAATCAACGAAGTGTTTGTTCCTATTTTAATGTGTTCGTATGTTTATCATAATGATATAGATAATTTAAAAGTGCTAGTAAAACAAAATATTAATATTCATTCGACTGATCAAAACTTGCGTAGTCCATTGCATATTAGTGTTTCGCAGGGCAATATGAAAATAACAAAATGGTTAGTTGACAGTCTCAAAATCAATGTTAACTTGATTGATAAATTTGGTGGCACACCATTATTTGATGCCTTATGGCATGGGCATTTTCATTTACTTCCATTTCTCTATTCACGTGGTGCTCGACTTCCATCATCGAGATCAAAAGAATTAGCATTTTATTTGAATGCATTTGTGTACGAGAAGAATTTGGATGCGATTCACTGTTTGATTTCATGTGGACTTAACCCAAATACGAGCGATTATGATGGCCGAAATGCTCTTCACTTAGCTGTCATGACTAACCAAAGTCAGATCGTATCGTACCTAGTTGAACATTGCTCTGTTTGGTTAAATACAGTCGATTATTTTCGTCAAACAGTCTTTGATTATGCATCACGTTTATCCGATGTCCATATCATGAATTATCTATTAGAACAACGAGACATAAGTCGCCCACTTGAGAAAAAATCAACTGAAAACTCAAAACTTTTAGAAATAATCGTCGAACAAATTTCAGAAACCAAAGATAAAATCCAGCAAAACGAAAACGATCAAAACTATTCCGTAAATATGGATGAGAGTCTTTTACCTACACTATTTTGCATGATTGCAGCTCAAGAAGATATTAATGTTATGAATAATTTTCTAAAAGAATTTCCTCAGTTGAATGCACTTGAATGTGTTGATTATGATTTTCGTTCTGCAGCGCATGTGGCCGCTTCTGAAGGTCGACTTGAAATTATTCGTTTTTTGTCTCAACAATGTAAATTGTGTGACTTTCGACGAATAATGAACCGAGAAGATCGATGGGGTTTATCACCGTTGGATGAAGCCTATCGTAATGGACACATTGATATTTGTAATTTTATTAATGAAAAATTAAGTACGCAAACTGATGAAGTCTATCCAACAATAGTGAATTCAAAAGAAATCAGCTATGAGTACAATGTTACCTATCGCTTGTTACGAAAATGGAGAAAGATTTTAATTTTTTGTGCATTGGCAGCATCTGGTGAAGCTGAAAGAATCAATTCATTATTTGCTCGCGGCTATTTTGTTGAAACTGAACTTTACGCCGACTATCATGGGCGAACTCCTATGCATTTTGCTGCAGCTAATGGACATTTAAATGTAGTTCAAGTACTAATGTGGCATCGATATGAAGATGTGAAACATAAAGATCGCTGGGGAAATTGTCCTATCGATGAAGCACGATTACAGAGATTCGATAAGATTGTAGACGAAATGTTGAAGATCAAGTTTTGATTAAAAAGAATTTCGAACTGGAACTTTTTTGCATCGATCAACTAAATCTTAAAGTATTAAATTTGAAACTTTTTCAAAACGAACAGCATCACATATTCTTTATCATAACCTATTTTTGTTTTTTCTAATTATTCACAACGTTTAAATAAGATAAATAGCGATCGTTTCTGTTTAGCTAAATAGTCTAAATAGAATTCTTTATTGTATCTGAACTACATGATAGATATTTCAGTCTTGGCTTTCAGAGTTTCTCTTGCGTCACTTTTGCCATTGTAGTAAACAGACACTACGTTAATTGTTCACGTCGATTTTCAATTTCTTTAACATCCTTTATCATTCCATTTGAATAGAATTTCTATCTTTCTCTAAACTGAATTTGCTAGGTCTCGCTCTTTGAACTCAAAGCAGTATGTCGATGCATGAATTGATAAAATTATACCATACAAATTTCATTCACGAAATTGATTTATCAATTCAGTTTTCTTTTCACTTGGAATATCCATCAAGCGTTGCCTCTACTTCTTTAAGGTATATTAAAATTGATGCAAAAACTGCAATATGAATTGAAAACGAACCTTGAAAAATTATGTATAATAATCCCCAAAGATAATAGGCATCTGTCTGAGCACCAGCACCAGCAACATTCATGTCATGCAGTTTTTATTATTTTATGAAATGAAGATTGGCCAAAGCTGTTCTATTTTCATTTGGAATAGAATTTATTAGAGAAGAAATAGTTGACTGCTATTGAATTTTAGAGTTAGAAAATATTTCTTTCAATCTATCGTTAAAATAGAAAAACAATGAGACAAAGAAATTCCAAGAAAATAATGTTCAAACATAACAATATTCTGCTGATTTCTTTGTATAAGTTGCATATGTATAAGAAATATAAAAAATAGATTCATTTATAATTCTTTGACGGTGATAATAGGTTTGAGTGGATACATAAGGAATTAATTGTTCAAATACTTTTTTGCAATTTTTTCTTGTAGCTGTTTTTCTTTCAAATAAAATGGTTTGATTTTCCTTGTATTTCGTCCATTCTAAAGTTATATTCAGATATTCTTTTTGCAGCATTTCGATGAACTCGCCGAGCTAGTTTTTCTCCATATCTATCATGGTGAAAATCCGATAAGATTTGTTCATCTTTTTTCTGTTGATAGAATACGTTTATAATCCGATTGACTATCATTGAACCGTTTAGGAAGAATAGATGAATCAATATATTTCGATAATTGATTTGCATCCGTTAAAAACTGAATTTTACTTCGAACAATAGGGTCTAACCAATGTTTAATTATATTTCAACAACTATTAAATGACAATGAAGCATTTATAATAAGTATAAGACAAAGAGATTACCGATAACGATTTTCAAATAAATTAATAAAAAATTTAATCAATTGATAGCCAATGTTTTTCATAGAAAATCTTTCTAAATATAAAACAACTGTTGCTGCTTCAATTCCTGTTTCAAGTAATTTTTGACTCATTTCAACTGTGAAAATAGTTAATAATTCAGTAGATTCTTGAGAATATTGACCTTTTATATGATTTTTGACGTGAACATAAGTTACTGGATGTCCACTTTTATCTCTTTCAAAATTAAATGTTTTTCCTGGTTCCACTTCTTGTTGAATAAATTTAGTTTCACCTTGAGCAAGAAGTTTTATTAATATTCGATTCATGTCTCCATTTTAATGTATTCATTAGTTTCTCAAAGGAAATGTCAACATTCCATTTGTTTGCACGAAGCCATCCGAGTAAAATAACATCAGGATTATCATTGGTAATAGCACAAATTAATTCATCGACAAATGTTGAATCGATTACTTCTTCAATAGGTAACGAATGTTGTTCACCAATAGAATGAAGTAAACCAATCTAAGGATTCTTAAGAGCTGCTCTTTGATTTTCATCAAGATTATCTATTTGAAAATAAAATATGAACTGAAAATTCTAGTAAAAAACAAGAAAAATTACAAAAAAAATGACTGATATGCCCTGGATCATTTGCTGTCATTAGATATTTCTTTTTTCAATCTTAATATCTAAAACAATCATAAATAGAAATTAATATAATTTAATTAATTTAAAAAAGTGATTAAATTATTATTTCTCAATATTATAGAATTAAACTGTAATAAAATATGTTTTAATATGATATAACTGAATTGCTGTTCAAATCTCGAAACTAAAATCTCGAAAAAAACTATTTCGAAAGAGGAAATCCCGAAAAAGTAATACCACAAAAAAACAGAATCCAGAAAAAAAATGAAATTTCGAACATAAAAATCCAAACTTTTCTACATCGCATTTTAGAAAAGGGAACCACGAAACATGTCGTCTTACTCTACAATCACTTGATCAATTAAAATAGATGTTATTATGACCGTTCTGCTTTCGTTTTTTTTCTTTAATCTGGTCTGACGGTCTGTGCTCACAAGCCATTCTCCTTGTTCCTCATCTTTTTTTGTATACCTTCTGTATCGCAAAAACTAGCTTCATTCATCAAGTCTCGTTCTCGTCCGCCGTTTCAAAAACACTATTTTCTTGAGATTGTGGATGGGATGTGAGTATGAAGAGAAGATCAACATCCTCACTGGCACTCACATCCAGGGATGTGAATAAGATGGAAGGGGGAATGACATCCCCTGCTTTTCAAAATTTTGTTATATTTGGTCAGTAAGATCGATAAACTCTGTTTTCAGCAGAATTTTAGCGATGCATCTATGCGAACGAAGACGTTACGTTCCCCCTGTTTCGAGATTTTAAAGTGTTGGATGGGAGCGCTACGTCTTCAGCCTTGGTGATCTAGTTAAGCCTCGGCCAGCTCCCACATCCTTATACACATGCTATCTTATACCTATAATCATGACTATCATAAACGACCACCTATTCAGCATATCTTTCCTCGATATTTTAATTTTTCGAAACTTTTGTTTTTGATAACTCCTTCTTTCGAGATTTTTGATTTCTTAACAACGAGTTTTCGAGATAGGAACTTTTCGAAATTATTCTATTCGAGATTTCAACACAATACCATATAACTTAGATAGATTATTTCGATAAAATATTTTCTTGTCAGTTTCAATTCAAAATATTAAATTAGCATATTTATTTTAATGGAATTATTTGGTATCCATTCACGTCGAATTCTTTATTTTACATGAATATGTTTGCCTATTTTAAATTGAAACTTTCTTAACGAATACTGAAATATGATTAAAAATATGCTTCTTATATATAGACACATGATTGTAAGCATATATGAATATAAAATACTATTTATTTATGCACCGATGTGATTCTTTGTTCATTGATATGATTATGTTTTATGACGAAGGAGAAAATCATCGCATTTCATGGCATACCATATCGAACTCAATGGTCTCTATTCAAAACACATTTGTATTATGTGTACTTTTCATAATTGTCATGTTTTATTTATTACTACATTAAAATATCCGAAATCTATGTAAGCAAGGGAAAACAAACTAATTTCATGATTTCTGATTTCCGAAATTAAAACGTGATTTCATTTGATTTCAGCCAATTTCAACCGCTTTCGCGGGAGTAGGAATGCACCTTCCAGTCGCGACTCAATCACTGAACATCAGTTCAATTGGGTACCAAGCACTACTGGATATACAGTTAATTAACCTAGAGTGAATTGGACAATCAGTATTTTTATTTGAAAACACTAAAATTAAGTGAAAAAATGATATCAATCTACGAATTAGTGTTATACTATCGAACGCATTTTATTCTTCTAGTATCATTTTTTCGTCGATCACTGCTACATATGAGCCAGTCCACATAAGCCACGACGGATTCACACAGAAGCAGTTAAATCGAGTTCGTCATATTGCGCTCAATTAAAGAAATGTTGTAACGGGAAGAGTTCTAAGAATTTTGACGCAAACCGTTCAAAAAAATATTAATCACTTGATTTTTTATGAGCATTATACGAAAAGTTCTACCATTCACGATATCTAGAAACAGCTAATTGAGCTGAAAAAGCGTCAGAGACATATCTCGGTGAGTGTTATCTACCAAAACATTTTCCTTTTTACAATATTGAATTATTGTGATTTTATGAATTACTCAATTTATGAAAAAAGAAAATCTTTCGAAAAATTCCCCTACTCCCCTCCAGGTCTCTTGAGGTCAATTTGCATTCGTTGAGCCTCCCCTAGTCCGCTAGGGCAATTTTTGGAAAGATTTTCTTTTTGCATTTTTTAAAAAAAACTTTTAAGCAAGCTAATAGAGGATCATATGCTAATTTTAGCTAAGTAGAATTTATCTTATATGATATAACTCTTCGAGCAATTTCTAAGCTAACCTGGGTACAGCTCGTATAGGAAAGAGGCCATATTTTGGTATATTTTGATAAGTCTCCTAGGGCCATTCTTTGAGACGCCACGCTAATTTTTTCGCAGGATTGTCGTGTAGTGAGAGTACTTCTAGTTTCTACATATTAGCTTTCAAGGAGATCCATTTCTTGGGAGATAGCTTTTTCTGAAAATCCTCATAGTTGTCAAAAACCAATTTTTGAGAGGACTGTTTTGATCAAACGCAATAATGCAGACAGCTGAAATTTTTAGGGGCGGTACATCTTTCAGTGTTCTTTCCATGGTGAAAATTTCAAATCCATATCTAATTCCAAACAAAAGGTTTGAATCACGCAAGTTACCAATTGTGTTTCTTTTTTCATATATTGAGTAATTCATAAAATTCCAACAATTTAATATTGTAAAAAGGAAAATGTTTTGGTAGATAGCACTCACCAAGATAGATGCCTCTGAAGCATTTCAGCTCAATTAATTGAGTTGTTCTTGAGATAGGACTGCAATAGGACCCGCTTTCTAGATACCGTGAATGGTAGAACTTCTCGTATAATGCTCATAAAAAAAATCAAGTGATTAATATTTTTTTAAACGGTTTGCGTCAAAATTCTTAGAACTCTTCCCGTTGCAACATTTCTTTAATTGAGCGCAATATAACGAACTCGATTTAACCGCTTCTGTGTGAATCCGTCGTGGCTTATGTGGACTGGCTCATAAATAGGAAAAATGATGATTTTAACTTGATTTCAGAGATTGAAATCAGTTTGTTTCCCCTTGTATGTATGCTTAATTAAATTAAGAAAATAAGAAAGAATAAAATACAATATACTGAAAGCAAAATTAGGTGTATTTATTAAGATAGAAATTCTTTTCTGTTATTCATTTCTGTCAAAATAAAATCTATAATATATTTATTTATTTGTTTATTTGTTTAATGATTATTAAACTAAAAATAAATCTCATATTGAATTAGATAAACATGACCATTCTTATTTACATATGAATTTCAATTGAATTTTTTGACAAATAAAATTCGGTTCTGATCATTTTATACAACATGAAATTTTTCATGATCGCCGTTTGTCTAATGAAATTTATGCATTCAGTCAAATGTAAACCTTCTTATTAGTCACATGTTTTCTAGAAGACTCTAACAGAAATTCTTATAGTATATTATCTTAAACAAATGCAAGCCAAAGTATATCGTTCTCTTTCAATAGCTTGATTTCATTCAAAACTTATACAATTTATTTGTAACTGTCCGAAAAACGAATTTATAAACAACTCATTTTGAAGTAGAACATCAATAATGAATAATGAAATCGTTCGTCGTTGAGTTATAATTTTCTTCTCGTGTTTCGTTTTAATAATTTTCTGATCAAGTTTCAAATTAAGAAGATTATTATAGAAAAATATGTTTGCTCATTCTACTAGAACCTGATCAAATGAACTTTTAGAGACAGATATTGATTGTTCGAAATACTAAACAAAGATGTGCAATTTTTCAAATTTATGTATGATCGAAAAACAAAGAATTCCAAATTGAACATGTTAACAATCAAAAGAGTTTTCTTGATTCATATTGCATTATGTTAAAAATAAATCAAATAAAGAGTAATTGAATATTTGAAGTAGCGTAGTAATATTATTCTAGCTAAACATGTTGACAGATAATATTGATATTATAAAAAGCTATGCATTTAGTACGTATACGTTATTGAGTGATGCCACATAGTCCGAATTTCAACATTGTTGGCATTATTTTAAAGTTAGAAAAATATTTCTCATTGATAAAAGAAAAGAAAATACGATTAGAAAAGATTAAAATAAAATGGTCAAGCATAATGTGACATTAATAGTAAATTATTTGTTAATCCTCTTTATTTTGAATAAAATGAATATAGATATATAGAAAATAATTTTCAATCCAAAGGTTAAGTTTTGTTTTTATGTTTCTTTTTGTTCTTATTTTAATCTATAGATGATTTAGAGATTAATGATGATTTATTATTTTAATCTAAGAATATATATATAAGAGAAAATTTGAGTTATATTTTACTATTTTAATTGAAATATTTATTTGATAAAATGAAATATTTTATGTCAACATATTTATATACAATACTATATTTTTATTTCTTGTTTGTATCAATTGAAAGTAGACGAAATCTTCAAAATTATATTGTATCTCATGAATATTTATCAGAAGTAAAACAAGATCAATTTTCAGTTTATGACCAATCAGAAAAAAATTTACTTTGTCGAATTGAATCATCATCATCAGATTATTTATTTAATCGATTAAATAATCTGATTGCTTATCCATCATATCAAAGTATAGCGTCAATGGAAAGTCTCTGGACACCATCACCATTAAGTAAGTGATAATTTAATTTTTTAATTTTTATAAACATATTTTTTATAGTGTATCAAGCTTATATGAATATATTAGATGATCAATTAAATCAATGGGTTATTGGTAAAATCTATCAACGTTATCATTCAGGAGCTCTTCAATTTCGTATTGATTACCGGGGAAAATTTTATATTATGGAAAATAAGTTTGGTTCTTTAATAACTGAAATTCGAGATGAGAAAAAACCCGATTATATTCTCACTCACTTCTATCGAGCATCATCTAATGTTATGTATCCATCTTCAAAATATAAAATTCAAGTTTATAAAAATGATTTACCTCATCCAATTTATATATTAGCACTTTATGCTTTAGATTCTATAACATTTAATAAAAGAATTAAATTGATTCCATAAATTAATATTAATATTCGATGATGACAATTAAAATCACATTTTTTTTGAAATTTCATTTTGACTTTTTTCTTTAAAGAATGTAAAATAAAATTTCGAATTTGAATAAAAAAATTAATAATCTTTGTCTAAAATAAAAATATGAATTAAGAAAATAATTTTTATCATTATTGATAAAGAAAGTTAAATTGAATTTTCATATTTTTCGTAATCATTAGTTTGACTTGTTTCATAGAAATAATTCAAAATAATGATATCTATGAAGTGATAATCTAACTATGAAAATAAAACTAGATAGAATTGATCTTGTTATATTAATTGAAATGAAAGACATATATAGAGAACAAAAGAAATGAATTAAAACTATTTTCTTTTTCGCCATCTCAGCAAAACTAAGCAAGTTTTCGAAAAAATAATTCAACAAAACTCATCTATTCTAAATGACAGAATTTTTCAATTTTATTATCGAACAATCAATTAGAATTAATAATTTAAAATGTCGATCGAAATTTTATTTTTCAAAAATTCATCTTTTTAAATAGAATAGGTGCTTGTTTTTCGAATGAAATCTCATGCTGTTTTTAACAAAAACTAATTGATTGAATGAAGAACAAGAGATTTATCATTTGAAAAATATTCTGATTCACATATTTTACGCAGTTAAATTATTTGATGTTTTTTTTCAATTCACCAACGGATTTCGTTTTCAATGCTAGAAAATAAAACAAATCAAATAAAAACGAAAACAAAATGTTTTTTTGTTATGAGGAAAAATAATCGATGACAAATTGGCTTCGTTTTTTTTATTGTTGAAATATTTTTCAATGGTTTCTTTTTGTTCTTCATCGAATGATCAATTATTAACAAAACGCTTAATTGAAAGTTCAAATCATCCATTGCAATGTTTTCATCGTTTTGTTAATAAATCTGAATGGACAAATGGTCTTGATGTTTGGTCTCCATCAGAAACTCTTCGAAAAAATCATTGTAATCAACGTTATTTAGATTTTCATCATGATATTGGTCTTTATTTGCCACGATATGAAAACGATAATTTACAAGAAACATCAATTGAAAATGATTTAAATTATTTAAGAGGAATAGAAAAAATAACGCTTCCAAAACGTCTTAGAACATTAATGGATAAAGAAAAAAATCTTTTAAAAGAAAATCATTCAAATAATTCTTCACCTGATGATCAATTATCATCGATTGAAGAGAATCAATATTCGAATTCTATTCAACAATGTTAGTTAAAATAAATCTTCTTTTTTGTGGTGATTTTAAAATAGTAAATAAATTTGTTTTAGCAAAATCAAGTGATATTCCATCGAACAAAGTTCGTTTATCACTTCGTCAAGTTCAAAGTAAAAATTCTTTAAGAGAAAATCAATTAAAGCAAATTCGACAAGAAAATTATCGATCAGTAAATCAAGAAAAAATAAAATCATTATTAAAACAACAAATAACAAGTTTATTTTGCCGAGAATCAGCAAATATTAATCATAAACGAACTTTCATTCGAATACCTTTAGTAGAAATAAAACATAAAAATTTCTCTCCTAAAACAAGTTCAATTATAGATTCAACATTAATTATGGAAAGATATGATAAATTACAACGATTATTAATATCTCGAACAACTAGTCAAGCAACAATAAATAATAGATTACTTAACAATCGTCAATCACCTTTAGAATATCAGAAAGTTTCTGCATTTGGTTTAAGTGTAACACCTATTGATTGTTTTTCTTCGAAAAATTTTGAAAATTCTTCTTTCGAAATGAAATTAGAACAAGAAAATTTATCATTCACAACTCCTCGATTAACTCAAAGAGGTTAAATAGATTTTTTTAAATTTTCAAAGAAAATAAAATAAAGAAAAAACATTGTACTAAATTTTTTATAGTTTCTCTTCGTTATTCAACTGATAGAAATGAAGAAGATCAAAGAATTGTATCCAAAAATACTATTCAAGGTGGATTTATTTCATCATCTGGTGATTTTGTTATATCGAATAAAACTTCGATTGATGAACAAGCTGAAACCATAAGAAAATTTTATCGTCATCATCGTCCATCATCAAATAATCGATTTGAGCTAGCAAAAACTTCCGAATTACTACCAAAACTTGTCTCTGGTAAACGTCTTCATATTCCTATTTCAAACAATCGACAATGATAAACTACTTCTTTATTTCTTTTTCTCTTTTTCTCTTTTTTCATATTCAACAATAATTAAAAAGAGAAATATTTAGATTACAATAAAATCTCTGTTCAAAAGAATATCTTTCTATACTGATATTATAATTGTTTTTGAAAATTTAATCATTTGAATAGTAAAAGATAATTTTTGTCCCGTTTTAGGAAATGAATTTAATCAAAAGCATTCAATGTTTTCCATTTAACCTAATGAAACTTTAACAAAAAAGTCGATGAATAGCAGTTGATGAATCAATTCGAGAGAAAAATAAATAAATTCAAGATAAAGTTTGAAAAACAATTCATTTTTTTTATAATAAAAAAATAACTGATTACTATATGTCGACTATTCTAACATTTAGCAAATTATCAAAGCCGAACAATTTTTATTTTACTTCGCAATAAAATTATAATCATGTAATGAAACATGTTGTTCTCTTGTCGGAAATATCAATTCCCTCGTTGAATATTTTCAGGATGAATGTATTGAAAAAAACAGATAAGATTTCACTCCAACGAAGTATAGTATGTGATACAGAAATCTTTGGAAAAATTTCAAACACTGCTATGCCATATTACCGACTTCTAATTCGATCTAAAATTTTTGTCATCAAAAGAGCAATGTCTGAACTTCAAATTTTGTATCAAATATATTTTCCAAGAAGAATATGGAACAAGATGAAACGCTAAAATCCAAATTCCTGTAAACATTTTCTTGACACTTGCAATACAGCATTGAAACGAGTATTCTTTATACTACAAAAGTCATCATTGGTCGCGATCTTTTGATTCTCTTTCACTCTTCAGATGATTAATCTAAAATAGAAAATGATGTAGTTGAATGTTGAAGTTACAAGATGCTGTTTTACGAGTAGCCTAATTTTGGCTTATTCTCTTTTCCTAGATTCGCCCTGAAAAAATATGTTTTGTACAAAATATGAAGTTTAGATAATACTCTTTCCGCCATGAAAACTTTTGACCGAATTAGAAGTCGATAACGTGGTCTAACAGTGTGTGGCATTTTTTCAACTACTTTTGCATCGCACGTTAGTTGAAAAGAAAGATAACTGAAATTAAAATTAGTCGATGATAAATTAGTTATTGATTGAAAATTTTTTAGCTATAAATAAAGATAGCTTTTAAATTAAATTCAAAAGAAGAAAATCCAATAAAAAGAACTTTGATTTTTGTAATGAGCAGTTAAAAATAGACCAATGAAAATAAATTGATTGAATAATAATTTTGATCATGAAGTATTCAAAGGAAAAAGAACGGAAGAAGAAAATTCTCAGGTATAATATTTACACAATGTGAAATATAAAATTGAAAATCTAATCATCTATCTTCATGTTTTGTACAGTTGCCGTATGATTAATGATCGTTCTCGTTGTAAAATTTGTATATTTTCTATTTACGCAACGTGCCATTTTTCTGTTGACTTTCGCAAACTCATTTTATTTTGGAAAAAAACTCTTAAAAATGTAATACACAATTTCATTTTCGACATGAATTTTATTTTTAATTTTTTAAATAATTCATCACACTTAGCTTGAAAGTCTACTTTTTAAAATAACAATTAATGAACAAAAAAAAATCGAGAATCACTATTGAATATTCTATTTAATGGGTGTGAATTCATAAAATTGTTTGGTAACATATTTTGCGTAGAAAAAATAGAAAAAAAATCTTTAATAATTGGCAGGTAAACGTTTCTTTTCTAAATTTTGCTTCAGTCGAGTTCTATCTTTCAGAACAAGCGACCATATATTGATGCAGTAGAGATAATCTACTATTAACAAATGTAACTAGTTTTGATCTATTCATATCATTCTTCTCTATCATTCAATTTTTTTCGGAATAAAATTCATTTTCTTAATAGAAAATTAATACAATTTTCATACAAATTAATAAAGGATTTATAAAAATTTGTTAACTAATTTATCTTGTAAATATTTTAGATTCATAATCAAGAATAGGAGAACAAACAAATATGTCGAATTCAGTGATAAACTTTTACGATTCAAAAAAGAAACGTATTATTTTTCTTGAAAAACGAGTTCTTAATGTATTAAGACCAAAAATTATTCAAATAATTATTGGAGATAATTCGACAAAATTGAAAATGGCTCCAGAATGGTTTAAACCTGAAGATCAAAATGAATCCTTAAAGAATATTATTTATCCAGATGGAATCAATGAGAATGATCAACATCAATTTAATACTATAGCTCGATATCGTGCAGCTTCGAAAAAATCCAATAATAACTTCAGTAAAGAATTATTCATTCCTAATGAAAGTAATACAGAAACACTTATTATTGCGTTGGGCAATTTTGTTCAACAGTTTGGTGGAGAATTAAGTTTCACTAATGAAGATTTAACATTTCAAGAACCAGCTCATCGTACAGCATGTGGAATAGCTGATTTAAGTAGTGCTCATTTATTAGCTACTGATTATATTCCTACAGCTCAATTTACTTTCATAGTTGATCTTAATTATCAAATTGATCTTTCTCGATCAGATCAAACAATGCAAAATTTTGTATTAAATTTTTCAAATGCAATTGCTGAAGTATTAACATGTCCAAATGATTATATTCGAGTTATGTCTGTTGATAAACCAGGTAAAACTCGAAATCAAACAAAAGTCAAATTTGGTCTCTCTACTCCGGATCCAACTGAAACAGAAAAACTTGTTCAAGATCTCAAGGTACAGGTTAAAGTTTTTCATTATATAGTAAATAAAATACATACTAAGCTTAAAGTATACAAAATACTTTTGAAAAGCTTCTAAGACTGAAATTCTCCTAGAAAACTTATAGATTTATATATATCGCCTTGAAGTTTCAAACTGTGTGTCATCTGCTTTATGAATTTCTTGTTTATTCAATTTTGCCTTGTTTATAATAATGTCGAAGATATAATTTTCTACTAGATGAAAGCTCGAGATGGTTTTCCACAGCATCGAATTCTTAAACATGTTAAAAAACATGAGTATGAATGTAAATGGAAACCTCTCATTAGTTTTTTTCAATTGCAAACATGTGATTTCGCCCCAGAATTCAATATCGATTACACATCCAGTATGCCTACAAAAGATAAACGTGGGGGTTTACCATATTACTTACCAATTGGATGGTATCGCCATGCACTTAAAGTTGACAATAAGTATCCTGAAGATAAACTATGGCTTGGCAGTAATAATGTTGACGGAGAATGGCCGGTAGCTTTTCATGGAACTCATGGAGGCGCTGTCAAAGGTATTAGAGAGAAAGGCCTCTTGATCAGTCATTTCGATGCCATGAAAGACGAAGCTGTTAAAGACAAAGGAACATATTTTGACCGACCAGGACTCTATGTAGCCACACATTGTACTGGTGGAGCACATCCGGCGTATACAAAACCATTTACAATTAATACATCATCAACAACGACTGAGAAATTTCGAGTTGTCTTTCAGTGTCGTGTTAAACCAGATGCATTTACAATTCACGCAAAACCGGTCGCCACTGGTGAAGCTTGGCGTTTTGTTGATCCCGATGCTATTCGTCCGTATGGTATTTTAGTTAAAAATGAAAAAACACCGGATGTCGATCAACGAAATGAATCGTAAAAATTGATTAGAAATTATTTATAATTTTTATTTTCTAACAAGTTTATTTTCACTTAAATTATTCATCAAAAAGTGTATGTGCAAATGAAAATATCAAATCAATGAGAAATACTTTGCTTATTTTTCTAATCTTTTCTTTTATTTCACAGCAAATAATCTATATTGTATTTGTAAGAAAATAATTTCATAGAGAGATCTGAAAATATTTTATAGATTTTGAAAGTCGACTATAATTCTATACGAATCAGTGACTACCACAGGATAAAAGGTGAGATGTGAGTGATGTGGGAGCGGTTTGAACTGATACAAAGCTCATATCACCGTCATGATTGCGATGGACTGCTGAAATAACTCACATTTTCTTTACTAAACAGATGCTAATAACAGTTATTCCATATGTTAAACTCATTCATGAACTCTAGATAGATACCGCTACTCTGCAGGTGGATGTTTGACATTCTCACAATCCGATACTAAAGTATCTGACTTAGGCCCCAAACAGACCAAAAAATCGTCAAAATTGATTCTGTATTAATTCAACAGTCGTGCACATCAAGAAATGAATCCCCCAATGAAAGTATGAAGCAAGCCGCTTTCATGTATGCAAAGTTCATAGTAAAAATTATTAAGGCATGAGAAGTGTCGCTAACGTACGTGTGCGCTTACTAACACATCATTCTTAAAAGCATTGTTAATAAATTAATGAAATAAAATCTATTCTAAAATAGATTATTAGATCAAGAACAAGTTATTACATTACGAAACATAAACAAAAAAATTATCATGCATTTCTTTTTTATTAAAACACTTTTCGAACTATTGAAAAAAAGAGAAAAAATATTTACGAAGTAAAACTATAGCAAAACAAATTATAAAGCATTCACTAGAAAAAAAAAAGATTCGTGAGTATCACGATCGGAAAAACGTAGATGTAGAAGGTAGAAGACGTCGCCTTTTTATTTCTATTGGCGAAACGAAATCATATCTGATTGGTGCATTAACGCTAATTTGTCTCGAAAAGAAAGATGAATTAATTCATTCAGTATTATTATTAGCGCTCTTAGCTATCTCATTGGTTAATTCGATATTAAATTTTTTGGTCTGTTTGGGGCCTTATACTAGTATGTTTTAATTTCCTTCATTTTTTTCCAGATAACACGAGAATGACTTCGAATTTGAATTAAACAACTCATATGTCTATACCAATAATAAGCCGATGATAATAATTCCAGTACGAATTAATTTTTTTCTTTATTTTATACACTCCAATTGTAGTTAAAGTATTATTTGAAATATACAATAAATATCATTTTTCAAACTGAAAAAAAAACGAAACAAAAACAAATTATTGATTGATAAAAATGGTGAAACACAAGTTCTTTACACCCTTTTCAACTGAAAAATAAGAGAAGAAATTATTTCGGTTAAATCATAATTTAACATAAGACATAATATTTAGTTGGCTCGTTTAGATTTTATTTTGAAAGAAAATAATAGTCCATTTTAATCAAAGTTATAATTAAGAACAAAAACACGACATTTTTTTTCCGAGATCAGTATTTATATTAAATTTCATCGTAGAAGATTTATCGTCTATTAAAAATAAAATTCAAGAATATTTGTCTTTGACATATTCAAACGAAGCTTCTATTTAAAGTAACATTTATCGATACTATTATTTATCAAATAAAAGTTGTTTATTTCAATGATTTATAATTAATTTCAAAAATATTTTCGACTAGATTCAGCATATATATATATAGAGAGAGAGAGAAGGTCGCATAAGAAGAGTAAATCACTAACATAAAAAGAAACATGGTGAGTAAATATCCAAAACAAAACATTATTCATAAAAAATTATCAATGATTTCTTGTAAAGCTAAAGGAATATTTACGAGACATAAAACGCAAAAAAAAGAGAGATTATTTTCTATTTATCAAAGGTAGCTATTGTAGTTTAGTGAAAAAAGGAAAGGAAAGAAAAAGAAGAAATGAAACAGATTTTTTTTTCGATGAAAGAAATATTGATCAAATGTAAAAATTCGTAAATTGAAGGTAATAATGTCATGTTACGATAATAAAAATCTTGAATTAATTTCATTAATATGGCTTGATAATATGGCTGATGCTACACAAGAAAATCGAGAAATTCAAGATAAACTTCGTTCTGCTGTTAATTATCTTCGAACTTTTGATAACTGCCAAACATGTGAACATTATATTAGAAATATAATTAATGATAAACAAGATAAAATTATTTTGATTGTTAGTGGAAAATTAGGTCAAGAAATAATCGATAAAATTCATCATTTAAAACAAATTATTTCAATTTTTGTTTTTTGTTTTGATAAAGATAGAAATGAATTATGGGCAAATAATTATAAAAAGGTTTTTCTTTTCATTTATTTTATGTTCAATTAAGCGAGTTTTGTTTTATCAAATTTAGATTCGTGGCGTTATTGTTACATTAAGTGATTTACTAAAACAAATTGATCTTGATCGTAAAAGTGACGAACAAAAATTAAATGAATCGATCGATATATTTAAAAATAAAGATGAAATCATTCCACTATTATTGCAAATAGATTCGTCACCCATCGATAAAAGATCTTTATTAAAAATTTGTTTCAAAGAATATGAAGGAAATTTAAATGAATTTGAAAATATTCGAGACTTCGAACATTTATATTCATCGTCAAATGCATTAGATTGGTTTTTTAATGAAACATTTCTTTACCGTTTATTAATTAGAGCTCTACATGTATTTAATATTGAAATTATTTTTCTTCTAAGATTTTTTCTTCAAGATATTGAACAACAACTAAGAAATTGTTTAGCAAGTTCTGAAATAGTTTATCGAGGACAATTAATGACAAATGATCAACTTGAATTTCTTAATAATTCAATTTATGAAAAAAATCTTCGATTTAATTCATTTATGATTGCTAATCAAAATAAAGAACAAGTTTTAAAATCTTTACTAAATACTTCAAATACAAATGGTTTAAATCGAGTTTTATTTGAAATTGATTCAAATCAAATTGGAAAAAAACATAAAGAATTTGTTATATTTCCAATAACAACTTGCTTTCATATAACTTCAATTGAAATTGACAAACAAATTCGAATTGTCAAAATCAAAGTTTTTAATACATACAAATTGAATGAGAAGAAAACTAAAAATTCTTTTCAATTAGCTCATCTACTTCGACATATTGGTCGATTAGATCAATCGGAAAAATTATTTTATCTTTTATTAGATCAATATCCATCATTAAATTTTCAGTCTTACGATGGACTCGGCAGAATTGCACAAGATAAAGGTTTATATGAACTTAGTTTAAATTTTTATATGAAATCTTTTGAAACAGTTCCATTTGAACATCGCGCTCATTGTTTAAATAACATTGGATGTGCATATGACTATTTAGAAAAATATGAAGATGGTCTGCAATATTATGGCGAAGCATTAACATTAATGACAACAGATCTCGATCAAGCAATGTGTCTTAGTAATATGGGTATAACATATGCTAAAAATGAACAATATCAACAAGCACTTCAATGTTTTCAACAATCATTATCGATAAGAGAAAGAAAATTATCTGAAAATCATGTTGATATAGGAATATCTTATACAAATCTTGGCGTCATTTGGTCGACAATGGGTGAATTAGATCATGCATTTGAACATTTTAATTTAGCATTAAAATCATTTTCGGTAAATGATTTTGAAATATTTCGAGCTATTGTTTATCAAAATATGGCAAAAATATTTCAAGAAAAAACACAATTTGACCGAGCATTAACTTTTTATCAAGATGCAGAAAAACTTTTTCAACAACATCGATCTATTGATCATCCAAATCTTATTTATATTCAACAACAAATACAACAATTAAAGCAACAACAATAAATATATTTATTTGATTCGTTTGTCAATGATTTTATTTCTTTTTCTTTTTATAATAGCTATTGAATAATCTTTTCAATCTTGAAATCCTTGTATTTTTCCCTATAAATAATATCATAAAAATATCTTGATATCATTATTGCTCTTTTATTATTGCAAGATTTTCTGTCTATCATTCATTTTCAATTAAGAACATTAATAATTTTTAAAGCTTATAATTATTTTCTAGCGAATTTCTTGATTTTATTTGTATTAATCCATTTTTGTTTTGATTTAACTTTTAAATCAATTTATGTAAGATAGATAATAAGAAATAAGTAAATAAATTTAACTTAAAATATAATTTAAATATTTTCTTTATTGGAACAGTATTTAATTAATTGAATAAGAAAAAATATTTTCACTCATTATCAATATGTTACTCTTTACTAATAGAATACTAGAGAGAGATAATCGAATTTTTGTTTCTTTTTCTGCTTTAGCTAACGTATAGTGAATCTAAACATAAAATAAAAGAATATTTTCAATGAATTAGAAATGAAAATTTTCTATCAGTGTCGTTTATTTAATTCATCAAATTTATCCCATGCTTAAGATTAATTATTCTTATTCATGAAATAAAGTTGAATCTTTCATTTGTTTTAATTTTTTTATATTTAAAAACAGAATATTTTTTTCGAACTAAATATAATTTTTCTAAAACTATGAAGGTAACTATGAAGAATACTCTTAATTTAAATAAAAACTATTACGAAATTGATACAGAATAAATGAAAATATATCAAATTGTTTCCTTTAAACAGAAAACTTCCTTTCGATTTTATGTTCGAACAACAATTTTGATCTGGTATTGTTGATAAATTTTCATATTGAAAACTTCGATAAATTTGTCTGTCATGTAATGATTGTGGACCACGATAACTTTCAAATAATAAATCATCTCGAAATGTTTCAAATTCATAATCAAATACATAAATTGGTTGTTTAAATACAGTCCAAAATCACATTCTCAGTGCAAGGTGGGACAGTTAATGACCCGTTATATCTCCAAAAATCAATCAAATTATTTCCCATGAGTAATGGTAAATTTAATTCAATTGTTACAGAATCATTTTCTTGCACTAAATTTTGTGATGCATCAAAATATTTGTACCATTGATTTGTCGTTAAATATTCATCATCATAAATTTTTTTATATTTTTTATTAATTAAATAAGGTTGACTTTTCATCAAAAAAGCTAATACAGCTATTTGATGTGTTTCAAAGTCTTCATAAACAAAATGACTTTCACCTGTATACTTGATACCATTTCTAAATAGAATTCACTATAGATTTTGTTTTTAAAATTATTCTCTCAGAAAATAATATCGATAGAATCATAAAAACCCGTAGAAAATACTATCACTTTATTCAAAAATATAATAACATATTTTAATTATTTTTTCTATTGAAAATTGATTAAAATCATAAATAGAAAGATATCAGATACGTACACTTGATGTTCACTTCCAACATTTTCATTTGGTCCCCAGTGAAGATGAAAGTTAACAAATTGATAATTTCCATTTAAATCTGCTCCATTAAGTAATAATTTAGGACCATTGTAAGTAACTACCATTGTATGTCCATCATTACTTAGAGTAAAATTAAATTCTTCATTGTAGTTCGATGTGAAATTAAATGGATTAAAATTTTTCTGAATGGTAAATGCTGTTTTAATATTAATTGGTGATTGACTATTACCAGCACATTGTGGATAAGTTTTACTCCAAACATCGGGACCAAATCTTCGATAATTCCAAGCACCATTAACTTTATCAGTTACTAATATCATAATTATTATATTCATAATCAATATTCCAGATTCCATGAAGAATGACAAAATATTTTTATAAACGTATGTGTTGATATCGCTTCAATTAAAAATGAAAAGAAAATAGATTACCTTCTTTCTATCAGTAAAGTAGAATTGCTTAAATCTTAAAAAACATATTCAATGCTTTTAATATTTGCTAACTTATTTAAATCAAGGATTAAATTTTTTAAATAGATTCTTATTCTACTACTCATTAATTTAATCATCGATGTGTTCCATATTTTCAGTTCTGCTATCAAATTATTATATTTTTTACACGTTTCAATAACTATCATATCTAATACAATTCATCACGAGATATAAGACTTCGTTGTGAAATATTTTTAATTTGATTATAAATAAGATTAGTTCTGTTGTTTTTTTTTAAATTTCATTTTTTATCCATTTTCTCAGTGTCTCGTCGATTATTTTCATCTTATAGTGAAATGTAAAGACACTCAAACCGATATTAAAATATTTCTATATATTAATCTCAATATCACAAAGAACATCGTAACTTGATCTATACTCATGTCCTCTAGAAAAACTTTTTTTTTCAAAGAAATTTTGAATAATAATTGAACTCATAAAACATTTCAAAATTCTTTCAACAAGAGATCAAAATCGAGTCGAATCGAATTTTTGCTGTTAAACTCGTTTGACAACGACTTTTTTATTTTTTTATGGTTCAGTACATTTAAATTAATATGGTAGATGAGTGCTAACAAAAAAGCGTTGTATCTCTTACATTTCTTCTTTTTCAATCTATAATAGTGAATGGTTCTCATTGATATATTCATAAACCATATGAAATTCATATTCACCGAGACAATTAATAGAATGAAATCCTTTTTAAAAATACAATATACGAAGGATGACATTGTGGAGTATTAGTGTATGTAGTGAGTATGGAGTATAGGGTGGGTAGGAGCTAGTAGGTTATACATATATATAAGCAAATGGAGTATTGCGGCCCGCGGATCAGATACCTGTACCAAGACATGGCACAAGTACAAAAGCATGTACCCGTGTAGTATTCTAGAAGCAATGATTCACAGCCATACTATATGACTGACTCGCTTTTCAATAATAATATCATAAAATAGTACAAACATTAAAACCTTAATATGGTTACCTGAATCAAAATGATACGTCTATGAGAGCTTCTCACTATATCAAGTGGTTCGTTTTATGAGATTTTAAACTGGAAAGCGATTCTCTAAAAGAATTGTAGTCACTAAATAGCTCACTTAATTTCTTTCCACTGGGATATATAAATTAGCTATAAGAGTGTAACACAATAGAAGTTTCAAAAGATTAATATTAGAAAGAAAACTATGTTCTCAGTAACCCAGTTCGCTCAAAAACAAGCTTGCTATTCTTCCTAAATTACTAAAAGGTGCACTAGTTAGTAGTTTCAATACTCATAGAAAGTGCCACTTGATAAAGCTAGTGTCATCCATGAAGTGTTCCCCTTCCATCATAAGATGAAGAGACAATAACCTTTCTAGTTTAATGTGTTATTATAACAGCCAAATAAACAGGAGATGTATTGTTCAACTCTAGGCAGAAGAGAGATTGCATTTTTCTTGGTTCTATTGTCATTTCATCTAGCGTTGAGTCTCATAATCAGAGTATTTTGTAAGAAACTCATATCATACAATTACTAAAAAAAAGATGTCTTTATGCAATGTTAGTACTATACTATGATACTAGTTGCGTCTAAAATACCTCTATAAGTTAATATCTTGATCTGAAAATTTAACCGACGATCTGTTATCTATGAAACTATTCACTTCATCCAAACTTATATCCAGATTGATAATTAAGGCGACTGTAAGCTGCCATGTACGTCACCGTATACGATCGCAAACAATAAGTTTACGACTGTATACGACCCATAAATCGCCACTTTAGTGTGAACCGTATTACAATCATAAAGTGTCTTGTCATAAATAACTGTATTCAAGCGCCTTTACCGGCAAAATTCTAATCGATTTACGATCATAATTGCCTGTATACAATCGTATGCGCCAACGTTTCCGACAGTTATATATCGTAATATATTGTACCTACTGTCACGATCACAATCCGCAATAAACTCTGTCCACACAAATTCTGATTTCTCAACCTACTCTGTCGTCTTTCCGATAGACAACTACAAAAAATGATACTAGGCAAAATCGAAGACTTCAGCTGATCATTTCAACCAAACGACTCGTTTCTTGTTGTAAACCACATCCAATGAATTTTCAAGTCAACGAAAGAGCTTACATCATACCTTTCTAGATGGAAATCTATAAATTAGGATAAAACACAATTGGAACCTACTCTGACTGAAAATCAGCTGAGCTGCAAACCTGAGAAGGTATATATATATAGGGTGAAAGTCGCCCACCTGGGGAATAATCTGTTCGTTCTGCATATCTGACTGACTCATACCATTTGGATCAACAGCTATGTCGAAATGATTATCTGCTTCAAGTGTTTTTAGGTGATCTGATGCTACAATATACGAACTTCAAACATTTTGAAGACGTTTTTTTAATGGGGCATCATTTCTTCTTGGAACAAATTTCTGAAAACACTTCGACAGAGTATTGATTCAAATCAAGTTGGCTAGTAGTTATGTTGAGAAACAGTTGATTTTCACCGACGAATCATTTTGAAAGTCAGATTCAATCAGATTTTATGTAGATATTTTTATAAAACCGATGAATTTCTATAGGATATTTTGTCGAGGAACGACATTTGTATCCGTAGTGTTGGAATCTAATCACATCACACTTTTCGGTTTGATGAAACCTAACACAGGATTCTTATTGATCTCCAATATTAGTATTAGGTACTAAGTAGTGCTCAACTAACTAAATATCATTTAGCCGTAGAATCCGTTAGCAGCTTCTCAATCCAGAATCCGATGGGATTCTCTATCGGATTCATTCGACCGGGTAACATAAGTAGTCCACCCCTATTGTTCATCACAAAGCTATGTCAACAGCAGTTCTGAACAAGAAAGGCATAATCATCAACTTTATTTCAGTTTGGTCAGAGATTAGTCTAAAAATCATAGAAAAGTCTGCAGGTGTAATCCGATTTGTTATGTTTATCAAAATAAATCTCCATCACAATAAAACGTCTTCAACAGTGCCAAACTATCACGACTTGTCAGGAAGTGTTCTATTGCGTTCCATTATTTTCCTTATTTTTCAACTGCAAAGGATGTTTTTAGAAAACTTGAAGAATTTTAAGGATCTGAAAAAATATTTGTAGAGTTTTGAGAATTCAACAAAAGAACTGACGTTTTCTGTGTAAAATTTTCTCATCAGAACCTTGAATAATATTGATATTGCTATGCATATGTATAGATTTAACTTCAAATTTTTCTGAATAAACAATTAATCAAGGTGAATCTCCTCGTATGAGACGCTCTACTAACATGCAAGAAATTTAATCTAATTCTTGCTATCGCGTTCAATTATTTTTTAATTTATTTCCATGGAGACAATGGAAACAGCAATAGCTCTCTTAGAAAATAGCAAAATAACTCAAACATACAATTATTGCAGATATCTTATAAACAATATAAGTTTGAAATAATGATATTCTTCTGTGATGATATCACTATAATCATTCTTAATTATAATTTTACCACTATTAACCATAATAAAGCAAAATATATGATAGAAGAAACAACGAAATATTTTAAGAAAATGAAGAAAGGAACTGGCATGAATAAAGGAAAGAATGATTATAATATGAATAACAACTACACTTGACTATCGTATTTAGGGATAGAATGAAAATTCAGTGTATTGTCTGATTTTTTAGGATTTAACAAGACTGGTTTATCGTTTAATTAAAATATTGAAATATGAAATTGATTTTCTAGCTAGAGTGTGAGCGGTTAAAATAGTACGTGATTATAGATCAAACAATTTTCAATGAAAAACACATTAAATTGACTTTTAATAAAATGCAACTAGTAATATTGTATACAGGCCAACAACTCTCATCTCGCCTGACCTATTAAGTTAACGGGTGTATGCAATTAATAGGCCAGATTAACAACTCTGATAGTCATGATTTTGACTTTTCATTTTGGTTTTTACTTCATTGAGTAACAATTGAGTTTAGTCGATTGTCAACTAGTATTTATTTATCTATATTTGCATACTCTACTATATGAACACAAAATAGTGACGTTAGTTTTTATTTCATTTTAGTCTCCACACGTCGAATACTTTTTTCCACGTTAACATATTTTTGATGATAGCGTCCATAATTAACGTAATAGCAATCAGCCGCTTTTCTATAATACATTATTGCTTTTTTGAAGTCACGAGTCTGTTCATAAACGTATGCTATATTTTCCCATGCGGACGCAATAGATGGATGTTGGAAAGGAAAACACTTTTCTTTAATCACAAGTGATTGCTGGAAGTGTGTAAGCGCTTCTGGTAAACGTCCAGTATCTCTGTAGACAAGACCAAGGTTATTGTAGGATACAGCCATATCTGGATGATCAGGAGGAATGGTTTTTTTACGAATAATTAGAGCTTTATTATGCCATTGAAGTGCTTCGGCGTATTTTTTCTCTTTGTTGAAAACAGTCCCTATATTACTGAGACCAACAGCTATCGCCTGGTGCTCTTCGCCGAAATTTTGCTTCCAGATATCTAAAGCTTTGACATAGGCTTTATGTGCTTCTTGATTATTGTCTTGTCTTGCATGAACATTGCCGATGTGGTTGTAGCTATCAGCAATATCAGGGTCATTTGGTTTGAGCGTTTTATTTTTTCGTTCCAATGCCTTTTGATGCCATTCAAGACTTACTTGAAATTCTCCCTTTTCGAATGCGAGTTCTCCAAGCTTGGAATACAAAAGAGCAGTATCTTTATGATCAGGAGGTAAAGTTTTATGTAGAATCAGTAGGTGATTTTTGGCTTCATCCAGTTTATTCATCTTCATCAAACGCGTGGCGAACAAGAGGCGTCTTAGTTCGAGACCTTCGCCTTGATGCTCTTTTTTTAAGTGCTCTAAAGTACTTCGTAAGTTGCTCTCATTATCACTGCACAATCGCATTCTAATCCTCCAAACTTTTTTCTCACCACGAGTAATATCAAGAACACGATATATAGATCCGACTGTCATGAGTACTTCTCTTTCGCCAGGATGAGCACTTTGTTCACTTACATTGGCAAATGGTTTAACGCCGCTGAGTCGAGGATCAGCCTCGATTTCAAAGAAAACCTGTAGGAGGTCATCGGAAGCATCCATAAAGTCTAGGGCTTTAGTTTCATCAAGACTGGTTGAAACAAATGAGCTCATTGAAATCAATTTTCCGATTGAATTTGACAATCCACGGAATTCATCATTGGATATCGATTGCGATCGATACGTACAAATGGGTGTTGAACATCGATGTTTTTCGATCGCTTTCCAAAGGTCAAAGATAAAAAATCGCAGAAGATAAAGTAAACGAGTGTCTTGCACACGTAAAGCCTTGTTTAACATCCGATAGAGAAACGATTCTCTCGTATACCAGAATAGGGCTTGATCGGCCTTATAGGTATTCTGAAATTCACGAACATTAGTTAGTTCTTTTCGGTTGTCTTTGTACTTTTTTTTACAAAGAGCAATCAGCTCTTTTTTGTCGTCTTCAGTGCCTTCTATGCGAAGAAGTGAATCCATTAGTAATTGAAACTGAAGATATTGTCCATTGAGACCAACTGACGATCGATCTGTTGGTGCATTATCTTCCAAGAAGGTGATCGCAAATTGTTCTTCAATTTTCTTCTTCTTCGCATGATCTTTCTCGATTCGATGAATGAGTTCGTCGAGGTCTGTAGTTACTAATTTGATCTAAATAGAACAGTTTTAGATATCCATATTGTATATAGTTAGTTCTGTTCACTTTTGAATATTCACTCGCCCATTTCTTATACTTCTTCTTATTCATGCAGTAGACGTAGATGGAGCAAACTTGTTTAAGTTTATAAATTTGAGGTACTATTTCTTTTCCTAAACCACCACTGACGATGAGCACAATACGATCAGATTCGAGGGATTTTCGAATGTATTTTTCGCATTTTTGAATATTGTCGAATGTTTTGAGATAATTAATGATTCCACGAAGATCTGATTGAGCGTGTACGTTTTCTTTTGATGTATTCACTGATGCATCAAGCCAAATAAGGCTGAATATCTCGAGGTTATCAGCTATTTTTGTCATTTGTGAGTTACTTTGAAAAAATAATTATGCAAATATTTATTCAATTATTGGAGTTATACAAGTTTAAAAAAGTATAATCATGATCGTGTTCAGCATATGATGACTTTCAATTATTGAAAATAAACTAATACTGAAGTTTCTATTATGATCTACCTTGAAACTTCCCTTCTTAAAAATCATTTTGCACTATGACAATCTCAATAGCGGGATAATAGTACAAAATTTTCTCTCTAAATTGAACTGTCTAATATTTGAATTATGGAGTTTTCAGAGTTTACAGACTTGTAATCGGTAAAATCTGTTCAAATTAATTAGTACAACATTGAGTAACCTGTAATAATTCTGTTGCATTCTTGTATGTCGGTAAGACAATATTTTCTTCCGAGATTTTTTTATCACTACAGCTCCATGAAAGTATAACCGGTGAAAGTCATATAAATTTTCGGTTTTCTAGTAGTATATTTTACCATCGGTCATGTGAGCTATCAATAGAAGCTAAGAGAAAATTTTCTGGAACTTCTCATACGACATTATAGCATCATCATCACTCTTTTCCGTGTTCCCTAAGAAAAATATCTTGTCCAATTGAATATTATTCATAATTGATTTTATATACTTCGATCGAACATTCAATCACGTGTACAAATAATTACTTTGAATACGAAAAACGTATACAAAAAACAAAGTCGAAAGTGCATCTGTTGTAGGTATGTGCACGCTTGAATAAAAACAAAATAGCAAGAGACACATACAAGAGATGTAATATTATCTTACCTTGACTGTGCATAAAATAAGAAAGTACACGAATGAGAGTCAGACGTGTGTCTGACTTTATTATGTATACTTTTTTTTTCTAGGAAGTGATTTTTTCCCATTAAAAAGCTGAAGAATATTTCTCTTGCTCTCTCTTCGCTTTCTTTTAGGCGGTGTACGAAAAAAACACGATTTATTTCTCGTCATGGACAAGATATTGCGCAGAGAAAAATGAAGATATTATCATATTGACTTGTTAATGACTGATGAAATGACGAGTCATTGTAAAAATGGAAATATTTTTTGAATCAAAACATTATCGAAAGCGTCTATTATTAAAAACTACAATCAGTTGAATAATTAATACCTTTCTCTGCGTTTTAAAACAAAACACAAAAACAAGACAGGTACAGAAGGCTCTTGGAATCAATTGCTATTAAACGTAATCCAAATAAAATTATGAAAAATTAAAAGACCAACATTAATTTATTGTATATTGTAAAGAAATCTTTCTTCACATTATTCTAGAATAATTTTAGTGTATTACAGTGAAATACGTCAGTAAATCATGTCAAGCTATCATCATTTCAATCTTGTAGAAATTACTGTTTATTTTAGGTGAAAGTTTTATATTATGCTTGACAATATACAAAAGCAGGACTTCCAGATTCTTTTCATGAATACGACACATATTCTATCCAACAGTTAAAAAAGGATAAAACTAATATTTATTTGCAATCATATCATAGCTAAAAATATCAATCGCACAACAGGCACTTCAAAACAAAATAGTATCTATGAGCATCAAATATTAAGAACTTCTCAGGACGTTTGTAGATAGACCCCAAAATTGAAAAAATTTCTTACGATTCATCATTACAGCAGTCGCCATCAACTCAATGTGATTGTATCTTCATTTTTTTCTGCGCAATTTGATGCGTATGAAGAGAAATTTATGATGTCTTTTTTTTGCCAACATAGTATGAAAGAAAGGGACACAGAAAGAAAAATATGCTTCAATTTTGTAGTGCGAAAAAATTATTTCACATTAAAATATACATAATAAAATCAGATATTCATTGGGGTGTCACTTGTGTACTTTTTCATTCTTCATACATCATTGTAAGGCTAGGTAAAAGCAACTACCTCTGCCGTGCCGTTTACATCTCTTGCAATTTATTTTCATTCAAACGTGAACATATCTATTGCAGTTACACTTTAGAATTTGATTTTTTTTGTATACTTCTTCGAACTAAAAAATAATTCTTAGTAAATCTGATTAAATTTTCGATCAAACGACACAAGATCAATTATGAGTAACACTCAATTGAATCATGTATGTTGATTGAAACTTGCCATTATTATATTATATAGTAGATTGCACAAAATATATTTGCACCGCTGTAATTATGTGGTTTTTCGATCATTAATGCGCTTAGCCAGTTGTAGAAAGAAGTGACTTTATTGACTGGTTAAGACATGAAAATCGTTTGATTTGTTCTCTAATTAATCTACTAAGACAGATAGCCAAGAACTGAAGACTTAAACATAAGAATTCTTTTTCATATATCTGAGAGTTTTCCGAAAACTTAAATTAAAAAAATGCAATGCTCACAGTATTTGCTTCTCTTATACTTGTAAAAGTCATTTCAGAAAAAAAGTTTTTTTGACTTTCATTCACACGGGAACTCTGAAAGAAAAGAACTAATGGTCGATTCAAGTTTCTCTATAAACAATTATCATATCAATACTGACAGTTTCTCAACGGATCAGGAACTCTTATTTCTCAGTTCTAAAATACAACTTGCTTTCTCGATTATTATCACCATAAAATAAATGCGGAAACATAGGATTCGCATCCGATTGTCATGTGTACTGCAAAAAATGAGTCGACTTATACATGTTGTGAATAATTCTGAGAAAAACAATTTTTTTTTTGAAAAATCCCTGTACCTCCCTCAGGGATGGTCTGGTCAATAATGACAATTTTTTCAATAACTCAGCCATTTCTTGGCGCATTCTTCTCATCTTCGAACTCGACTGAGATATTGATGAGATAATTCTGTGTACAAAATTTCATGGCAGTTGGATGAGACTTTCAAAAATTATCCTGTTAACGGACGGGCACGCTGACCGAATCTAGAGTGTACTCACTCTTTGAGTACACAAAAAAGAATCTAAGTCATCTTTTTAAAGGAATTATATGAAGAATGCTAAAATTATTGATTTACAATTAAATGGAGCATTAAAAAAAGTTTTCTTCTATCAAAGAAAAAAACAGTATGGTGTGTATTGATGATGCATATTATCGTCCTTAATAAATGACAGTGGAAAGTAAATAAAGAAGAGTTAGAAGCTGTTACGATCAAAACGAAAAAGAACTTGCTTACTATTCTGCTCTTCCTTCACTTTTTCATTAGACGTATTACAAACTTCAATGAAGCGTTAGAGAAAATAGTTCCGTTTTCTGCTAGCAGAAATATTGAATGAAATCATAACTAATTATTTTCATCAAAATAGGTTTCTGTTTGTTATGTTAATAGTCCTTTTATCTTCTACGATATCACATCGTATCCGAAGAAAGCAGCTATAGATGGATACTAAGATTGTGTCATCTACGTTTCAGTAACTGTGGTATTGCCTCATCAACATCTAGACAAGTAACAAAGTAAACGAAGCACTTTTTTAGCAGTGCACTTTCATATCTTCTGCTAAAGATTATATAAAAATATTTGAAAGCGACATAGGTCAAAGTCAAAAGCTAAGATAATATTTGTAATGAGTGAGTACTTCTTTTCTTTATCTACTCTCATGTTGGCTAAGATTTAGATTTACAAACTGCAACATCTACCATGAAGCTACCACCATAATTGTTACTCAACACATAATTATTCATGGTCATTCTGTTAGGAGTCAGTAGTATAGTCGGCATATTAGCTATATGCAACTGATTGTACAAAGACCTATAATCAAGCATCACGTTTTAATGCACGAGAATTAATATTATATATAGTGCTAATTTTTGGCTGATTCAGCAGCTCTGATTTCTTATATTTTCTTTTCAAAAATTAGAGTCGCATGAATCGTACTTGTATTCAATATACATATTCGAGTAAGAATAAAATATTCAAACCTATAATATAGATTGAAAGCAAATACAACTCGAGTTGATCTGTTCGTCAAACAGAACATGCGTAAACATTATGAATGATCGTAGATGATCTTCTAGTTCAAAATAGTTCTATTCATGATATGCATGCAGAGTTGAAACTTGCAAAAGCTATATCACAACTGTTATTTATTAGCATAAACGTTGACACCAGTCTTTCGTTGAAATCTACTTCGCAAGTAGCAGGTGCATGTAGACGAAAGAATAAATACAATATTGACTTTGATAGTAGTTATCCTCGAAGTTGCTTTTATATGTGTCCAGGATAATAGTGACAGACACGCAGTTTATATACTAGAGATCAAGTATCGATTCCTACTTTCTTTCAAGCTCATAAAAATTGATAATTTGTTCTTTATACTCAAAAGATATTTTTGTAGGTTGTACATTGCTTCAATCATCGATTATCTTCGGATTTAAAGAACACGACCGAGCACAGATTTCTTAAGTTTTGTAAAATCTGGCACATCCTAAAAGCATATATATATAATGCAGACTTGCTAAGTCTTTATCTTCCATGGTAAGCCAGTAGTGAATTATTTTAGACACCTTAGAAAAGTTAGATCTTCCGAGCAATGCACCATCCAATCACCGATCGCAATAGCGTTTAAGACAGAAAATCACTTTTTAATGAAGGCTTTTGATATATCTGTGTTGCATACATCAAATTTCGGTAGTAGCTTGACATAGAAGTATCGAACTCGATTCTTTGCTTTCTATGTCGAAAAAAGTTATAACAACTAATGCACAGTTGAGAATGTCGAGATTTGTTTGTCTCAGACTTAGACATAGGTTTTTGTAAATTTTTAAGAGTTGAGACATTTCGTATTTATAATTGTCCTTGATTTTACGAAAAACATCTATGCGTTGAAAGTTTTGAAATGAGTTTGTTTAGAACTATCTAGTCTGAAGAGTTCTATTAAGTTACTTAATAGTAAATGAGTAAATATTATAAATGACATTTAGATTTTATACTAACTTGAAAAGACCACTTCTGCTAATTTCACTTCGTCAACTTCCTTTTATTTCGGCTGCAAATATGACAACGAATGCTTCCGGCCACGCAACTATGTAACTTTTCATTTCGACACAGTTCCTTAGCAATATATTATTTATTGGTCGTTATAGACAATCTTGATCGAAATCAGTATGAAACTCTCAAAACTTACTGGCTTTCACTGGTCTCAGACATTGATTTGGACCCATCAAAGTTTGTTAGTTCTGCATTGGGTGATGAACTTCTCTATCTATTTGGTCGAGATAATCCGGATGTTGCTCTCCTTCGATGGTTACGTGCCAGAAAATGGTATGTACCATCTGTCGTTCAACTCATGATGGATACACTCAAATGGCGCCGTGAATGGGTCTTCGAAGGTCAATCGAAAAAGGAGAAAGTGACTTGATCAAACAAGAATGAATCTCTGGTAAGATCTACTTGATGGGTAAAGATAGATTGGGTCGTCCTATTGCGTATGTTCATGCCAAAGAACATATTAAAGGGCAGCATCCATTAGAATCAAAAGAAAAATTAATCATTCTATTTATTGAGACAGCAAGACTTTTGATTGAGCCTCCTGTTGAAGAAGGCACTGCGATTATTGATATGTTCCATATTGGATTTCAGAATCTGGACTATCAACACATTAGATTTATGATCAATGCCATGCAAAATTATTATCCAGAGGCTTTAGGACTCGGCTTGGTTCTCAATGCTTCGTGGACATTCAATACTGTTTGGAATGTTATAAAATCATGGTTAGATCCGGTACTAGCGAGCAAGATTCATTTTGTTAAAAGTTCAAAAGAATTGGCTGAATATATCAATCGGGTGTTTTTTCTGAAAAGACTTGGTGGTAAACAAATGGATTTTAAATTGCGTCCACCGACAAAAGAGGATGAAGCTTTAGTGAAATTTTTTCGAGAAGATAAATAAAACTTCGGCAAAGTTAAAATAGAACATAGAGAGCTGCACAACACTATATAAATATGACGTTGAAATGGGCCACTGCACAAACACAGAATGAAGAAGATGAAAAGCTAAATAGAATATATGGAGCTAGAAATTTAAGTGACACCTTCGAACAATTAATGCCTTATGTCTCTATGCGAACACATTCTCATCGAACGGGAGATATTCACGAGCCCACTTTCGATATTGCATACAAGCGAATCTGTGCCGATCTCAACCAAATGTCATCTTTGTGAAATATATTATTGATTCTCACGTATGATAATTAAGGTTACAGAAAAAATTCAAGTATTTCCAATATTCCAAAAATTTAAAATCTACCAATCATTTCTATCTAACATATATTTGTTTATTTGGCAGATAAATTAAAAACTATACTTTGTTTTTCGCTATATACTGTTTTTCAAATTTTACTTCATCTAATAAATTAATTATTCAATATCTACTAGATGAGTATTGCCATTAATTTGTCTTAGCTACACATTGATATAGATACTAAGAATTTGTCTTACGCACGAGACAAATCGTTTGGTTCAAGAAAATATGATTTAAAAAAATCGACGTGCAAAGTGTATGATGTTGATATCATTTTTCGTCGTTACATTTCCGCACTACTTACAAAACGAAAATTTCTGGATTAGCTTGAATCGATCAATACATCTCATCTATCATCTATAAAAAAAAGAACTTATCTCTTATCTTCTAAAACAAAAGTAACCAACCGGAAAACAAACAAGAAGATATTTCATTCAGCATTTTGATAAATGTAAACAAAATGATTAAATAAAAATATAATATAAGATTTAACCTGAATACCAATTTTTTATTGAACAGTGTATCAGTAACTGTAGAAATCATAGGATTCTTGCAGATTTCACTGTTCGATTGGATTTAATAATTTAATGAATGAAATATAACTTACATAATTATAAACATAGATAAGCAAGGTCGTGTGATGGCCGAAGTTTCATAAATCATGGTTCCTTACATTAATCGATATTTTCAATGTGTTTTCTTTCTATACTATAAGTTTTTATATGCTATTTGACATTTCATACTTCTCGAAAATTTCAAAGGTGTTCAAAATGAGGTTATTCATGGCTTATTTTAGCTTACACAACCCGAGCCAATCGTTAGAAATGTTTTTTTGGTGAAAACAAGAATTATACGTGACATCTTCTTCATGCATATATAACTATCTATATGGAATGTTCGTCAAAAAATATGCGAACGTTCACAATCCATATGTTAAAAAATACTCTTATGATTACTTTAGATAATTTTGACTAAACTTTGTCTTACTGTAGAGTACTAGAATTAGAGACATTCTTTGGGATTAGAAACCAGATGCTGAGGTAGCGTGGCGCAAAAAGAGATTTGATGTGATCATAAAAACAAATCAATTAAGAGAATCCCTCTCTCTACCTTTCTAAACTTGATACTATTTATTCCTTCATGCTTTTGTAAAAATTCTCTCAAAATGAACAATTCATCCAAGACCTTCCTAAGGATTCTATCCATGAAAAATGGACCGAAAACTGAAATCAGATGAAATAAATGAATTTATTAATTCGGTTAAGAATATGAAATGAAAACTTGAAAAACTATCGCAAAGGTTGTATGAATACAAAATGACCACGACTACTGATTGTAGTAACAGAAACAAAAATATTTTTGAAAATATAATAGAAACCTGATTGCTTTATTGATACACAATTTATTTAATGATGCTATAGCATTCTTATAGAATGATAACTTAAATATCAAATATAGTCTTTTCAAAGTGAGTTTCATTTATGAGACAATGAACTGATACATATTGCACATATTATTAAATTTTGTTTTTTGATAACTCTCATTCTTGTTCATCAAACTAGCATCGAGAAAAAAGATCATTTTCTGTATCGATGCATCTGATGACATTCGATGATGATCTTCTTCAATGACCATTTGAACGCAATCTAAGAAATTTTTTTCAGCTCTTCCAAAATGCATATAATTCAAAATAGGTTCATTTTGGAACTCTAATTTTTATTTTAAAATCTTTTCTTTTTTGAAAAACTACAGTGTCGACTAGAATCTATTCACATGTTGTAAAGGCTACATTCCTGATTCTAACTAAATTAAATTTTTATTAATTATTTTCTGTAAGTTTTATCTAAATTTAACTGCAATTACTTTCATAACATCAGATTACTTAGCTATTTTATTACAAAGAAAAAGAATTTTTCTTCCATCGATGATGTATAAGAGGTCTTGTATATGTATAGTGACAAGTCGTTGACAAATCGATATAGACATGCGTATTTTGCCTATAGTTAATGACATCTTTCATAATCCATTCTTATTTGTATTGGATGATGTTCACAGCAATGAACATGTTTTAGTTTTTGATCGGCGTCGTTGTTTTGTTTTTATTTCTTTCAATTACGTTAATTAAGGTATTTAAAAGAAAACACACAATGGCTGGCCCCGGTGAAAGAAATGAAGCAATTGATTTACATGAATTATGTATTGAAGGTAATTTTGCAGAATTAAAATCAGCATTAAACTCATCAAAAGATATTGATGTTAATCGATATAAATTGTTTGTTTATCGGCCATTACCAAATAGTTCAACTGACACAGATGGCTTAGTTGATGTCGATGAGGATTATCAATCGGATGAAGATATATCTGATTCTGGTACAATGTTTGACTATCGATCTCCACTTTTTTATGCTATTCTTCATGATAGATTAGCTTGTGTTAAGTTACTTATTGAGCATGGTGCAAATACAGAGAAATTAAGGTAAATATAATTAATAGAATATATTCAATTAAAAAAGAAACTTCTTTCTTCTTCTATTTCTTTGATAGACCATGGGGTTTAAATGCTCTTTGTTTATCGTGTTTTTGTGGGCATGTTCGTCTTGTTGAATATTTTCTTAATTTAAATTTAAATGTAAATTTAACAGATAAACCAAATGTAACAGATAATTATTTTGGTTCATTATCGAATGAACATGAACATAAAATAAAAATGCGTGAAATGCATTCACGCGTTGCGCAAGATATGGGAATGTTTCATTATCCACTTCATGTTGCGATTAAGCAAGATTCAATTCAATTAATTAAACTTTTACTTAACTATAAACATAAATTTGATATGGAAATAACTGAAGCTTATACAAAAAGAACAGCATTACATATTGCTGCAGGAAAATGTTCAACAGAGGTTAAACGAATATTTGTTTTCTTCTTTTTAATATTCTACAATCAATTGTTGTTTGTTTATAGATAATTTGTCTTTTATTAGAAGAAGGTCAAAGTGAAGAAAATTCAATAGATTTAAATGGTCACACACCATTAGATATTGTTTGGAAATTACTTAATAATTTAGATTATCAATTTGAATATCGAGAAGAAACATTAAAATTAATGTTAAGTCATAAATGTCGATTTTCTTCACTTAAATCATTAACAGAATTTTATGCAAATTCATTATCAGCATTTCGTCGATTTGAATCAAATTTTTGGATAGTTATTGCGTATGATTTATCATCATTATTTCTTAATTCTTTGGAAAATAATAAAATTTTACTTGTTCATATTTGGCTTTGGTTTAATCGAAATTATCAGGATACTGTTATGGAAGATGATGAATTTGATAGACATTATACAGGTTTAATTTAAACTTGATCTATACTTCTTGATTTTTATTTCGAGTATTTATTTAGGAAGTATTCTACGTAATTTAATTCATGTTATGTATGAAAATGAGCAATTAACATTAACTAATCATGAGCTTGCTGAATTATTTACAGAAGATTTAGGAAGTCATTTTGATAAAGCTACTGATGAAATTGATACAATAACAACAATACTTTCAACACCATTAAAATTAAAACAAATTTGTCGAAATCGAATTCGAAAACGTCTTTGTTGTGCTCAATGCGGCGGTCTTAATCGACAAACACTTGAACATTCATCACTTTCACCACCATTAAATGAAGCACTTCGACATTTTATTCTTCCATGACTTCGAATTATTTCTTAAAATAGAAAAAAAACAGAATTTTCTATTAATATAGAATTCTATTGATGATTAATCAAGATTGAAATATCAATAAGATAAAACTCGTCAAATACTTTTTATATTGATTATCTTTGAGTCCAGTTGTTGTTGTTGTTCAGAAAGAAAAACATTGATGTCGTCAATACAAAAAATATCTTTTTGATATTTCTTAAGAATTCTATTTAGACAAATTATTTATCTTATTATTCTATTATTCATTTATTTTCAATTCTCGAAATAAAAAGAAAAAAGATTAGAAACAAAAAAACTCTATTTTCTCAAATTATAAAAAACAATTTTTTGCTAAATTAAATCTCTTTTCGTTTTCAGCAAGGAAAGTATACTAGAATGAAGCAATTAATTCGATGTTTGCTGTGTTCATCTAAATGCGAATCAATCAGAAATGAATCATTCTCTACATTTGGCATTGAAAACCTTTTCATGTAACATTGTTTCAGTTTATCGATGCAAACGAGTGCAGATTTTTTATCCTAATTTTAATTGACTAATAATGATGTCATTTTTCTTGTTATTGACGGTTAGATAAATCTTTCAACTAAATTTTCCTGTAAGTTATTGAAGATTCAGTATTTAGCTTCGAACAGTAACATATCCAAGGTATAACGAGAAGAGGATCTTCTAAATATATTAAAAAAGTTTCCGAATGACAAGAATGATTCACTTTTTTCTTTCCATCGTTTTCACTAAAAGTACAAACAAAAGTTCAACGATTAATAATGACATTCCTTAGTCATATCGACAAAAGCATAAAAAATATCCGTATTATTTGAAATGTAAAATATGTTGTCCACTCATTGATTCAAATAGTAACTTATGTTTTAATAGAAGTGCTATAAGACTATTAATATATGTCAGTATGGAATATATCAAAATTCTTAATACTTATTGGTCGTAATTGCTCATTTTTTCATTATTACTAATATTTAAGATGTATAAAATCATCATCATTATTATACCTATTAATATTAGATGGCCATTAGTCAACATAGTTGACTGGTATGTGTTTCTGTCATATAGAACAACTTATTGATAAATTTTCATATATTCAATAATTAAAGGAGTCCGTTTATGCTGAAATAATTGTTTATGGGCCATTTTTCGTAATATTATATGCATATATGTTCTAGCTATTTATGCATATAATATAGACATAATCTACTAGCTTCATCGTGATATTGACTTTAGAGTTAAACAATATCAATGAGACCTATATAAATATCGATTGTATCTGAAAGAAATCTAGAATAATCTATTGTTGATTATTTCTCATCAACATAATCATGTTATTCTAATGTCAGTCAATAGGCATCAATCTGTAAATTTTATTTATTTATTTATTTATTATTAATAATGTAGACAAATGAGAAAAATTCCTTATAAGAAACTAATTTTTCCATGAATTCTAATCGTTGAAATAAATAGATATTTCGAACATTATTTTTAAATTCTATTTGAAATTTTATGTCGACTAAATCCAGAAGTGGAGGTTTACGCATTTGAATGAATTGATTTTATCAGTTCAATTTAGTAGCAATTGTTGATTAGATCTCAACAAACGTATATATACAATGATAAAATTAAAAAAATCCACATGTTAAACAATAAAACAAGAATTTTAATAAGAAAATAACATGAAGATAATTATTTATCAATGAAGAAAAAACATTTTCATCTACGTTTGCTGATTTTTTTTGTTAGACAATCTGTTTAAGAATTATTCATTATAAAATCATTTTCTTTTAGTTTGTTAAGATAATGATATTTGGATTCTTTTAGATAAATATTTTTTTAAAATTTCCATGGAAAAAGGGAAAATATTTATTCAACTAATTTGCATATCATTTTATTCATTAAAGATATATTTCAATTCGAATAACAAGGAGTTGTTCAAACGATTTTTTTAGTAAAATATCAATAGAACTAACAATTTCAAATAATTATTCGATTTTTAACTATCAAATGATAAATATTTTTCATAATAAAAACTCGAAAGAGATTTATAACGAATAGAATTGATTCATTGATCATTCTAATCAATTTTTTTTATTGAATTCAAGTAGAAGGGAAGGTTTTATTTAAATTATTATTTTATTTTCTAAAAAAGCGAAAAAAAATAAACACCGAGACTCAGACTCATTTTTCATTATTTAGAAAAAAACGAAGAAAAAGGAAAAAAAATGATTTTAAAGAATAACAAATAAATACAAGAAAAATGAATATTAAGTAGATACAAATAGAGATGATGAGCCAACACGTGCCGTTCCATCTTCATTATACATTAAACATAGATAACCTTAAAATTTATTTTTTTAAATTTATTTAAAATTGAATTTCAAAACAAACCATTCGAATTTTCAATTGTTTTTCCAGTATTATTAATAACACTATTGACTATTTCTTTTGCATCAACTCGAGTCGAATGTAATCGTCGTTGAATATCTCCAAATTGATCAATATATGGAGTCTAAATGAGCTATATATTTATTTCAATTCTAATAAATTCATTTTTTACACACTCTTCTTTTATTAATTAAACGTTTTTGTGATTGTTGGTGTGTTTCTTCATCACTAGTTTGTCTAGAAAGAAGGAAAAAGAAAATCACACATGAATTTATTGAAATTGAATAAAACGAATTATATGAATTTTTTTTCTCATTAAACAGTTAAGTACAAGAAAGCAAGAATATATCGATGCGTCTACCTGCAATTAAAAATCATATTTGGATCAGAATGAACGTTGTGAAAATGATGAGATTCATATAAAATATATCTACTTTTTTAAAATTTATTTTTCAATTGTTGCCTTAATAAATAAATAAAATGAGACAAATAAACTAACCTCAAATGATTTTTATCAATAGGATTTGAATTATTTGTACTATTGATACTAGTCGTTGAATAATTTGAACACATACTACTTTTACTTGCTTGACGAGAATGACCTGGATTTCTATTTGTTGATAATGGAGGATAAAGTTCACTCGCAGATGCACTTATTGTTGATGAACATTCATCTATTATTTTATTTTCGTTTGATTAAATAAATAAATAAATAAAACAAACCTGGAAATGATATATGGGGTTTTTTATTCAATGGAATTTGTTCAATTTTTATATAGGGATGATCACTATCTGGCCTTTAAAAAGAATATTTATATGAAATTTAAGTTTCTTTAGTATGAGAAACTAAACTAACCTTCGAAAAATGTGATCACCTTCAAGAACAGTTAATTTCATTCTTATTTCAAGATAAGCATTCGATGGACTACTATTGATTTGTTTATATCCATTAAGTAAACATGCTTTTGACTCATCACCAGTTCCAGCAACAGATGCTAAATCTAAATCATAATATCCTATCTTTTCATATGAACGACCAGCACGTCCTTCCTTTATAATAGAAAATAATAAATATTTTTAAAGTATTAATTTTGTTTTTTTGTAACGAACTTTTCGAATTGATATTCGACAATAACAATGATCAAGCGTAAAATTATCAATACGAGATGTCATTTTAGCTGAAAAGTGATCGCTTAAGTTAAATTCAACTTTATTTTCGTGAACTTCAAATCGTCTATTCAAATATTATGATAAAATAAAATTTTGAAAAAATAAACAAATCACTTAATAAGTAAACTTACTCATGACATGTATAGACATGATTTCCACCATTAAGGAGACGAATTTTGAAAAAAAATTTTCCACTTGCATATGGAAGAGAAAGAACACGTTCAACTTTGATGTCAACATCGAATGTATGACGACGTTTACGATTAAATGTTGATAAAAGACTATTTGTTCCTTTGCCATTAATCATTTCATTCGAATTTTTCATTTCAGTTTCATCCATATTATGTGTCTTTGGACTCATCATCATAAGAGAATCTTAAGTTAAAAATAACTTTTTTTTGTTTTCTTTTTTAAACATAACAACCACTCATCACCTATTTCATCGAATAGAACACCTACCTGTTTTTCTTTTTTCTCATTCATCAAATAGACACACACATGACCAGTGCGCTAATAAATCTGGCATCATCACTTAAAAGCATACAAACAAGCTAAGAAAGAAAACAATTATCCAATTTTATTTTTATCGTCGAGCACAAAAATATTACATTTTTTTTGCGAAGACAAGTAGAAAACAAATCTACTATCAATAATTCGTCGAAAATAGCAACATAATAAACTATCTTTTACCAGAAATGCGTCATTAGACTAAACCACGCCAATTAGAGAGAATCTAAATTTTAACTTTGCTCAATCATATAGAAATGATGCTTTCTTACAATATATAGGTTAATTATTTTGATGTATTTATTATTGTGTATTAATTTGTTCAGCAAATTTTAAGACGCTCAGTCGATTGCGACATCTTTACACTTGATAGAGAACATTGAATAGATGAATATTCGAGAATTTCAATTATCATTTGAAATAATCAGTATAGGAATTAGAAAAAAAAACTTCCTTTTCAAACTATCTATCTACATTTACAATACGATGATTTCACCATTGGTATCTAATTAACAAAAAAAAACTGAACCTGTTTGATCGAATCTATTGATAATATAATGAGAAGAACATTTATGAATTCTATATTTGATTGATCTCATAACTTTTGTGTAGTGAAAGAGCCTGAAAGTCACTGGAAAGAAAGTAGTCTGTATCAAGATTTTCAAGTTCGTATATATATATTCAGAAATTGATATGAACTGGCTAAAGTTGTACGAGTAAAAAAAACCTTATTTAATTGAAACAATTTTTAACATAACCGATTTCTTTTTTCGATTGATTCACAACTTATCATCAATATTTATTATTTTAGTTGATTAACAATTTCTTTAATCAAATAAGAAATGCACCTATGGATTTCTTTGATCTATAACAAAAGATACGAAGGAGAGAAAACAAACCAAACAAAACAAGTTTATAACAAAAAAAAAAAAATTATTGTTGATTATTGACGAGAAGAAAATTCTGGATCTTTAATAATCATATCGATAGTTTGATCATATGATAATGAAGATTGTTGATTATTATTGAAAATAAAATATTGTTTTTGATTAATTAATGATGATAAATTAAACAAAACATATTGTTCTGGACGAATTTTCCAAGACCAATATTCACTTATTTCAATATTTGAACATCGACGACTTAAATATAAATCAGACATATATTCGCTTAAACTCTATGAAAATAAATATTCAATTCAAAGATAGATCAATTTTATTTTAATATTAAAATAGATATTCGTACGGAAATAGTTAATGTCGATATATGTATAAACATCATTGGCCATTTTACTTGATTATTTTCAGCTACAGTTACTTTTAATAAAACATTTCCTGTTGATAATCGTTCATTTTTCATGGCATTTTCCAAAGACATACAAGCTCGTCTATTCCATCCACATTTATCATTTTGTGTAAATGGTAAAATCTTTTGTTTTTATAAAAGAGAAAAAGAATAAATAAAAAAAACTACAGAGAATTTTCAAAAGAACAAACCTGAGCAAGTGTACAAGCAAGAGCTTGTGCTGGACGATCACTAAATTTACTAATCAATGGTTGAATAGAATCTACATTGACTTCAGTTATTTCACCATTATCAATAAATATTAATTGAGCTTTTTCATTTCCTGCATTCATTAAAAAGTAAATTAAAATAAATACGTCAATATACAAATAAAAATATACCGATCAATCTTATTATTCGAGCTCGATACCAATTTAAATCATTAGAACATTTTGCTACGCAAAACTCTCCTGATTGAGGAAAATAAGTTTGACTTGAATCGATACTATTATAATATAAACTATTGAATAAACAGAAAATATTTTATTTTAAATTTAATAAAATCTTCGTTCAACTTAATATGTTTATGCATTTCATCATAGGATTCTGTTTGATTTGAAATTCGAAGAAAAAAATAAGTTGGATTATAGTATTTTGATAATTGACCTTGAAAATCAACACCAGTTTGAAAACGTTGATACGTTACTGTTATTGGAATATTGTATTCAACTAATAAATATTTCTCTTTCTTTTTTTAATCAAATTCTTTTTTTTCTCAAACATTTTCCCTTTACTTTGTCTTGATGGAATACGTGATGGAGGATAATAAATATTATTTTCTCGATTTGTTAATAAACTTCGACTTGTTCCTCGTCGATTATTTTTAAAATTCATTTTTAATTGTTCTTGATCAAAAGATGTTTCATCAAATAATTTCGAAGAATTTTTTCCACCAATATTTAACAATGGTTGAATTAATTGAGAATCATTTGAATTTAAATTAAATATTGGTGAAAGGTTTTTATTAAAAATTTGTGAAATGCTGGAAGGTGAACAATTGTTTGTTAATATTTCACAATTAGAAAACGAATCTTCATTATTATTTGTTTCATCAATTAATTTATACTAAATTATATAGATTTATTTTAATGAATTTATTCTCTTATTCAAACGAAACTTTACATGAGATTTAACAGCAAGAATTGTTTCTTTAACTATTTGAAGTTCTTTTGTGATTTCTGATTGAATATCTATTTATAAATAAATCGAACAATTATTTTAAATTAAAAATAATTACTTTGAAGTAGTTGCGACCATTTCTCAAGAGAATTTTCAATAGATTCTAATGTAATAAGACCAACAATTTGTTGCTTGGCTACTTTCGGTTTCAATTGACGCGATATAATTTGACCTTTAATTAAATTTTTATTACTTGTTAAATAAGAAAAATCTGATGTTAAATCAATATAATCATTTATTTGTTCATCATATATTTGTATAAGATAGTCATTGCTATTTTCTTCTTCAATATCAAATTTTGATTTTATTTCATTTTCAAGTAAATTAATATCAATTGGATGATGCTTCAAATCAATTTTTCGTCGTTGACGACCAAATTCAATAACTAATGTTAACATTATAATTTAAACTATTAACTATGAAACAAGATGAGACGTTGAAATTTTTCAAATTCGATTTTATTTTAAAGTGACCAACACAATTATTTGATTTTCGAACGTCCAAATAAATATAATTACAAAATGGTTAATTCCTTTTTTCTCTTTATACTACTGACATCTACTAGTTTTTATCATATATATATTTCCACATATATTATTTGAACAATATATCTGATGTCATGTAGCTTTTTATTTTCGGTCACGTAAATTAATTCGAATATTTAATGTACTTGGTTTCAATCTGATCTTATTTAAAAATAAAATATTCGAACAAAACAAAAAGACTTTTTATATTGAAAACAACTTTTCAATTCATCATATGAAATCTTACCATTGAAATCGTTTATTCGTTCGTATTCATTATTTGGAGAGAAAAAACAAATTGATTGAAATAATCACAGCTGTATTCAAATACAGTTGTTTTTAACATCTCAAATATTTATCAGATAAAATCTTTTCGAAGATTAATCAATAAATTGTTCCATTTGAATAAACAAGTATCTTAGTCAAATACCTAAGATATTTTTTTTTATATAAGCATTAACCTTAAAGACAAAATCGAAATTTTTTTTTCTCATCAAATTCCGACAATATTTAATGGTGGAGTTTTTCTTTATTCTTTTTCATCGTTTTGCATTTTTCTTTCTTTAAAATAGCAAACAAGGATTATGCTTATATTAACAAATTCAAAACCGAATTCAACTATTGTTGTTTTTATGTGCATATTATTTTTTCAAAATCAAAATTCAAAGAAGTATGTAATTCATTAGTTTATTGTATCAAAATAAATGAATAAAAAATTGATTCTTAGCATTGGCCTGTTACATCTGACATTATGTAGAGATAGAGAATAATCAATACGAAGTGCGATCCATCATCAACAAGAAACAACAAAACATAAATTAGAGGCGCATATTGATGATGAAAACATTGATGATGAGCCACTACTTTAATTTGAAGACAGTTTTTGTAAATATTCATTGATTCATTACAAGGTTGTCATAATTTGTTGTCCATTGTAATGCTTTAATTAATTCATTATAAATTAATTTGACTTGTATGTTTGTCTCTAGATATGAAGAAAACAAAAATGAAATTTCAATTGAACTATAAAACAGATGTCAATACTTACAAATTGATTATGCGTGGAGATGTATGTCAGATTGATGATTCATCGTTGAGGCTTGATGAGTGGATCAGCATTTGTTTACTTTTTACTTAATTTTGTACTTCATTATAAGGCATCCGAACAGGATACCCACCGCACCCGCAACCAATGTAGGTACTGTGATCTTCATGTAATTTTCTAAAAGAAAAAAGAGCCAGATGTGAAATACTTTGTTTAAATTATTTACTTTTTTTCGAATTAGTATTTGGCGGTGGCAATGGCATGGGCGTTTCATTATCCAATATTTGTGCATTATCAAAATTGTTCATCGATGCATCATACTAAAATTAACGAGAATTATTTTCTATTAAAGTCGTAAAGCCTTTATCGTTTTATTCTATAAAGGATACCCAGGTGAAAGAAAACGGCCCGTAAACGGCCTGAAACGGTATAAAAACGATGTAAAACGTTAAAAAACGGCGCCGTTTTCCGTCAGCTCGGAAAACGAAGAGAATAGTGTTAAAAGCGATGGCCGTCTTCTAGCAAAAAAAACGGCCCGTAAAACGAGCTGACGGATTACGGCGAAATAGGGTGAAAGTTTATGCCGTTTTATAGCCGTTTCAAGCCGTTTCCGATGGCCTTTCAGACGGCAGGATGATCCTCCTGGGTATGTTTCTTTTCACATTTTACTTTTTCTCATTTAAGGAAGAGAATAATGCTCTAAATTATATTTAAATAGAAGGTACTTACATTTCGATCGTTTCGTGCTTTGGCCATGATGAATTTTTTAGACATCTTCAAATCGACATATAATATGAATATATACAAATGACCAGTAACACAAATGATGTGCGGCTTTTATAATCTACTTTTTTTCTGTTCTTCGCCGTCAGTTCTTGCACACGTAAATGAAACATTATTTTCACTATTATCTCGATTATTCGTGCATCTCTCACTTTTATGAACACAAGAATAAAAATCAAATGACACCCTCGATAGCATCATATTCTTTCGAGAAACGCAAAGACATACAGAAGAAACATTATTTAATACTATCTTGATCGTAGCCGACCAACCTAGACATCGAGTTTACATTAGTGTCTGTTCATATATTCACAATGGCAATACACTAGGACATTTTTATTTTTTTCTACTACAAAGAAACGTGATCTTCATGGAAAATAATTTCATGTATTCACTTCATCTATTGTTGTGACATATGAAATAAATATTAGCAAAGTGAAAATTTTAAAAAAGCACTTTTCTATTGTTTCATTGTAATCCATTTAATACATTTTGATCTTCGAAGTTCATATACCTTGTATCATAGTGGAGAAAATATCAAAAAATGATACGTTTCATTATGAGAGAGATTTCTTCCAATGGAGCGTTTTTTTCTGATTATATTTCATCATCAATTTGAAAAAACCTTCAGCACTCGAATAGGTCATTTATAGGCACATCAGACTACTATTTAATTGTATTTTGAATGTTCAGGAAGAACTCTACACTGCTATAGTTATGATGAAATAAAATAATAGAAAATCAATATTCTGCTATTTAGTAAAAATTTATTCAAAATAAAACAAACTTTTTTGTCTCTTTTGATAATGACAACAAAAAATCAATCAAAAAACAAAAACTAGTTTGCACTCATATATGTTTAACAAAAAAGAAATCTCTCTACACTTTAATATTGTCTGTAACATATACATATATGTTCTAGTTTTTCTTTATTAAGAAAATAACATTGTCGATAATGACGACACAGTAAATTATTATTTGAAAGTTGTATTTGAATATCAAAGTTTTATTGTTCATGATTATTATTATCATGGGCTAAATGTGTTTTAAGCAGAAGATGACTCAATGAATCAGTATCATTATTTGAAAATCTAAAGTCATATAAAATATCTTCTTATTTACAGAAATTAATGAAATAATATTCATTTGAGTGTATTTGTACTAAGACGACAATAAGCATTATTCGTTGTTGTTAATTACTTCTCTATTAACAATTGATCAGTCATAATATCAACTATTTTTATCTTCATTGATAAATTTCAATGATTTATTTTTTGTAATAAAAAAGTAATTAGCAAATAAAAGGAAAATTTTTCTATGACAAGTAATTATCTTTATATCAAAATAGCATCTAAAAAACGTTCCAGTATTGAATTGATAGATTTTTAAAAAGAAAAAATTTAATTATTTTATATCATTCATCTTATTCAAAGACAACTCTGACATACATAAAGTCCTTCTAGAAATAGATAAAACACAAAAAAAAATACATAAACATTGAAAACAAAATCTTCATCGTCAGTTTGTTCCATCAAATCATTTAAATCAGAATTTCATAATGAGAAAATTCTACCTTAAGAAATAATTTTTAAAAGACTCCACATTACAAACAAATCATGATATCAATAAAATGCTGCTTTCCATTCGTTTATGTTCCATTATGTTGAAAAACTAAGTGCTTCTACATCGAAAATTTGTTTTTCGTGAAAATGTGTCAATATATCGAATTGATTCGTTGAAACGAATAGTCAATGGGTAATAAAAAGAAAAAACAGATGTCTTTAACAAGAACCCATGATAAGAGACTATACTTTCAAAACATTTCTTACTGAAAAATGAAATTCACAATACTTTTATCGATTGTTGCATGTCAATATAATCGTTAGACTCTTTCCAAAGTATATTACTAATTAAAAACAAAAAAAAACGTTGTATTTCTTCAAAAATTTGATGTCAATGTTAAGATAAAGACTTCGAAAACTTTTGATCTATTTCTTTGTGAGATTTTCCCAATGAAAATCTTTTATTAAGATTGGTTTTCAGAGAAAAATATCTCAATGAAACAATAAAAGAATCTCTCTCCTTTTGTTTGCATTGACGTCCGACGTAAGCGGTCAGTCAATTTCTTATTCAATGTCTGTTTTTGTCAAGGATAAAGCAAAACAAAACAAAGGGAGAGTGAACGGGCAAAGGGTCACTCATTGAACATGACCAATGAACAACAATGACCTTGAGTTCACCAATGAATATTTTCTCAATCTCTCTCTCTTTGACGTTATATAAATTGATGTGTATACCAGCGAAAATATATACAAATCTACAAACGAAAGGGTAAGTAAAAAAATTGTTGGTGCATTTAAACGTAAAAGATGTCTTGCTTGGTTGTCACTGTTCGTCTTGCCTCGCTCTGTAATAACTTAAATGAAGCGAAGCCTGTCGACCAGTTCCAGCCTGTAAGATAATAAAGACTCGCTAAATGTTGTTGTTTTCAATGTATATGAATTATTATTTACGAAAATTGCGGCTACACTGTTCACACACCTCGCGCTGTTAGAAAATCTTCGTAGAAAGAAACGAAGATACAATGTTCCGCTGGGTTGTGCGAACAGTCTAATTGCTTTTTCTACCAACGACTATGTGCAGCTTATTTATCCAAAGAACGGCACAAACAAAAACTGTTCATCTAGCCTCGCCTTTGCTTGACAATTTTATTTAATCAAGGCGGGAGCAGATCGTGACAGTCATTATATGTGTCTATTATCGTCGAATATGTTTATTTATTTATTTCACTTCAGTACTAATGGCAGTTAATTATGAAAAAGAAAATGAAAAAAGTTGTCTTCGTATTAAACTTGAGCCATACGAATGTATGATTTTCCACTTGGCAGATCATTTTTTATTTGAACTCCTTGTGGAAAATACTTTTGAACATCTTCATCCTTAACACTAGGTGGAACCATAACTTTGTCGCCAACCTTAAATACATTCAAATTCGTCATATAAGAAAAGCAAGTTATGAATCGTACCTTCCAGTCTACTGGTGTTGCTATTGGTAAACGAGCTGATAGTTGAAGAGAATCAAGTAAACGAAGAATCTCACTATTTAAGTGAACACAGTTATGGTAGAAAGATAGATTTGAAATACGAGAAAAAGACAAACTCGAAGTTTCTTCCAGTTGTTGCTGGATAAAGTAAGCTTGCTTTGACTTTTTTATCAAGTCCAATGAAAAATACCTAAGAATCATACAATATTAGATGTAGCCTAGCAATTATAGTTTTGTATTAGACAAAACGAAGAACAAGCTTACAGCACGTGCAGTTAATGGTAAGCCTTTTGTATCGAATTCGTCAGGATCGATCATTCCAAGTTGTTTAGCCAATTTCCTATCGCTATCATCAATGATTGGAAATGCAAATTCACCACTTGAAACGGTTTTACAGGCTCCATCAGAACAAACACTACCAGCATAGGATTGCAAATCCTTAGGAAAGAAAAAATCAATTGTGTTTTGTTTTCTTTTCTTTTAAGACAATAAAATACTTTAATCCATCCATGATGATTTTCGACGGTGTCACAAGATAACCCTATTAATTTTGTGTTTCTTTTTGCAAATTCTGGTGCTAATTTAGCTGCTCGTGACAATTCAGTCGTACAGACTGGTGTATAATCAGCTGGATGAGAAAACAATATTCCCCATCTAGAATAATAGATATTAGTAATAAATTAATGTGAAAGAATTATTTAATGATATTCAACTAACTGATTTCCAAGCCATTCGTGGAATTGAAAGTCACCAGCTGATGTTTTTAAATGAAAATTTGGAAATTCATCACCAAGTTTTAAAGACATGACTTGTGTTGGCGTTTCGAGAAAAAATCGTAGTTTTCAACTAGCTTTTATCTGCAAATTCAAAAAGAAGAATATTATCACTACTTAAATGAAAAAGAAAAAAATGCAACGTCATTCTTCAAGATAGAAGAGAAAGAAAACGAATATAGACGGCTTACCATTTCGATAAGGGTCCAATGACATCTATTATTTACCTTGAATTATAACAGACGCAAATGTTCCTCATTTATCCTACTATTGTCTTTAAGTGAATTTTATTTAGTTATTTCATGGTTGAATAATTTGTTTAATATATTGTGTCTTTTTCTATAGTTTAACCTTGTTAACCAATCAGAACTAAACTAAAAATAGTCAATCGTAGAATGTTCTTCCGTTTTCTTTTTTTACCATCGTAAATTTTATCGTGAAGATAAGAATATGTTGTGTGCCTTTCTATTTATTGCTATTTGTGTAAAGCTAAAAAGAAAGTTTGGTTTCGATCTTTATCAAATTCTAAACTTATGTTTTTGTGTCATTATTCATTTTTTTATTTCTTACATTTCGATCAAAGTCCAACGCTAAAAGTGCATCCATTTTTCTTACTGAAATATCTTAGTATTTTTAAATAATGGGATTATAAAAAAGAATGTTTTTCAATTGATGCATAATAAACAAATTTTCAATTAATGAAGTTTCGATGTTGTTGTGAATGAATCAAGACTTCTGATTATCCATTTTTTTTATATCAATGATAGTCAGCCGAAATCAACCTAATTCTCTCTTTTCTAAATCTGTGTAACGTATATAAGAGGAAGAAAATTTTCAATTTACAGAAATATCGATGGCTTCGGTATTAATAGAATCGTATTAGGAATATTTAGTAAACTAAACATAGAAAGAAAGAGACAGATATAAATCATTTTGATTCAACAACATGAAGGTTTCCTTTAAGAAAACTCATTTGAATAAAAAATATCATAACTGAAATTTTCACCTTTTAACTAACATATGTTGAAGTTGAATATTAAAAATCATTTGTGATACAAAAATAATGAAAGTTACTATCTATATTGATATTAGAAAATAAATCTAAATTGATATATAAATTGAAATAATTAGATGATCTTAAAATTTTATATTTGTACTAATCAAAATACAATATATACGGATAAAGTGAATTTCATTATTATGAAACGAATTAATATATATATTGAAATATTTCAATAAAAGATCTTATCGGAGAAGATAAATAGATTTTAAAACATTACTTCGAAAAATAAGATTAAATCCAATTATCATTTCAATAATAGGTCATAGTGAATAAAACCGAAAAAAATTTTAAAAAGAAAATACATGTATGTCATTGTTAAAATGTCATGATAGTTATTCTGAAAATTTATTTATTGGCGTTGATTGTTAAAACGATTAGAACGAAGTTGTTGACTGTTTTCATTCTCATTATGTAACAATGTCTAGAGAGAAGATCATTTAATTTATTCTCAATGATTTAAATGAAAATAGTTTTACTTGAAATTCTTGATCAGTAACTTGTAAATTATTAACTCTTCTTTCCATGGTTGCCATCCATTCATGATACATTTGTTCCCATGTCTCAATCTTTATTGAATATTAAATAAAATAAGAATAGAATTTATTTTTACTTCTTTTTTTGTTTCTTCTTCTCGTTGACATAATTGAGCCATTTTTTCATCATGTTCTTTTTTCATTAATTCAAATTTATTCTATTTTAATTGAAAAATTTTCTTTGTTTTATTTGAAAATTATTTTGAAAAATTTAATTAAAACAAAAACAAAAACAAACTTTATATTGTTTATTTTCTTCACGTAACAATTTAGATGATTTATTTTCTTCAATTAATTCTGATTGAATGATTTCTAAACTTTTTTCAAATATCTAATTGAATAAATAAAATATTTTTTATTTAATTTCGAAGTTAGAACCTCTTTAGCATGGCGTTCTTCTTCTCTTTGTTTCTTTTGACTTTGCCATTGTTTTGTTATTTGAAGATTATTTTGTTTTTCAATTTCTAATAATTGTTTTAAATCTGAGCATTTAAAACATGAATTAGAATTCGTTGTTGATGATGATTGGTGTAATTGCTGTTGCTGTTTATTATTATCTTTTTGTTCGATCATTTTCGTCAATTGTGCAGTTGATTTTCTTTCATTTTCAATCATTCGTTCAAATTCTTCACATTTTTCACATGACCTTATTTGTTCAACACGATTTAGTCTATTAGAAAACGACAATTAGACATAAGAATTAAAAGAAAATAACACTAGATATGAACCCTGCACCAGTTGTATTCACATATTCTTTTTCGAGTTTGATAACTGTTGTTGCTTTAGCACGACGTAATTCATCTAGTTTTACTTTATAATCATTGATTTGACGTTCAAGCTTAATCAGAACAAATAAAAATTGAAACTCCTAGTAAAAGATTCTTCTCGTTCTGGTCTTTACTTCTGTGACTTTATTCTTAAGAGTAGGAACATTATCTTTTGTTTTTCCTGTTTGAATTGAGTTAGTACTTGGATTCGAAACTGTCTGAGATTTTGCTGCTGACATTGACATTGTCACGAGAAAAAGTTGAAGATTTCTACTGTTTTTTTTTTTACTTAAATAAAGTTGTTTTCAATTGTTTCTTTCTTTAAATTGAACATCGATATATAGAAAGCAACAAAATCAATTCGATAGAGGTCGAGAATGTCTTCAGTTTTTTCTCTGACGGGATTAGAAAGATGTATTTTTCAATGAATGCAACTATACGCGCCCTCTTTTGAGAATTTAGTGTATTCATATCATTACTCGACCTTAATAACCACCCTAGTCGAACTTTTTTATTCATGCGCTTGCAAGAGCTAAGCTTAAGATGTGTCCATAGCGCATGACTTTCTTGCTCAAGACAAGCACTTCAATGTTTTGCACGAGCTACAAAAAGATGCAACTATAATTTTTTTATTAAAAGTTGAGTTATTGTGAATGTAAAATTGAAAAAATAAGTTGAAAAAGTTCTTTAATAGCAGAAACACTTAGATAAAAATTCAAGCACACGAACAAGAAGCTTAAGAATTTGAGGTCACCGAAAGGGTTCATGTCTTGCCTCAAGATGTATTCATAGTTCTTGACTTTCTTGATCAAGAAAGTCAAGATTTGCATGCGCTTGCAAACAAAAGTTCGACTAGGGCAGTGTTACAAGATATTCCTATTATACTGTCAGTGGCGTAGCCAGGAATTTTTGAGCCATGGGCCATTTCCCAGCAAAATTTTTTTGAGTAATGGGCAATAAGGGGCAATCATCAATCTATTGGGCGACACTTTTTAAAATTTATTGTCTTCAAAAAACGTTATGTTTGTCGAGGTGAAATTTGTTACTTTTGACTAAGAAGATTTCTGTCACTTTTCTGTCACTGTTTCACAAATGTAGCCTTCAGCTTTTAAGTATTTAAAAATTTTATTTAAAAAGAAGTGTAAACATGTAAAGCTATAACTGTAGGAAATAACGATAGACACTAGGTCTGATCCTAATAAGTAGAGAACTGTTCATCGGACCATATACTTAGCAACCCCTACAACCTTTTTTATACTGACTGGTATGAAAATTTTTCAAACTGTCGTGCCTTTTCCTGAAAATCTAGCTTGTAAGAATATTTATTTCCTATATCAAACCCTTTATTGATGTCAAAGGTGATTAACGTTGGAAGAGAAGGATACAGCTAGTATATATATCGTCAAAATTCCTCATTAAATTCTTGGTGTATTTCAGTGACTCACGGTCATCTCAATTTATGCTGTCATTAGAAACTAGAGAACTCTTCAAGATTGTATTTTTCATAGGTTTCTTGTACTAACCATAGTATTTCCAGGATAGCTTTCCCACAAATTTCAAAAACAATGAACGATTACGAAAGCGGATTGCACGTGGCACTACTGATCGATGTCTATATCTAACGAATAATTAATAAAGTCCAAAAAAAGGCAACGTAGAATTTACAGTGATATAGAGTTTTCTGTTCACTAAAAGACGTTAAGTGTAAAAAATACATCGAAATCGACAGTAAAAAAAATGCTCTATAATAAATACTATTCCATTATTGCATTATTTCATTGATTTCAAGATGGATATGACTAATCGAGGAGTTGATTTTCTTGATATCAGGTAAAAAAATATGAGTAATGACTTATGCTGAAATAACACTCGACCTTCTCAAAGGGATAAATATAAACTCATACCTAAAAATATAGCAATCCATATCTAATTTTAAAATAAATTTATATCTAATTTAGAAAATAATATATCTAATTTTAAAATAAACTTATATCTAATATAAGATGGATTTATATCTAATTTATTAAGTAACACTACCTAACAACACAAAGTTATATCAAATTAATAATTAATTTAATAGAAAAAAATAAAGATACAATTATCAATTATAACAAAAAACACAGCAAAAAGAGAAAACTATTGCACAATTAATGCTTTTTAGCTGTAGCAACACGACCTCGTTTTCTTTTTTTATCCCAATGGAATATTTTTAGCTTCCAATGGGGTGCTGCATAATTTGTATCGTGCTGCTAAGCCTATAATGTGTTTACAAATATAATACTTTAAACAAGCTGTAACGATAAATAAGACTCAGTTGAGTCTATATCGTAATGACAAACTGGATAGAGGTGGAGTAGCTTACCGCTACTCTAGGTAATGATGTTTATTCGTTTATTCACATATCCAGAGTGTAACGACACAACTAGAGAGTGTCGCCTATGCCCGTCGACATGATGGTATATTGTGTCATCTGACATCTCTAGAGTGTAACAACTTCATACATAACACACGTATATATAGGAGAGAGATAGAAGAGAGACAAGAGAGAGAGATATTACACCAATGGAAAGAGAACAGAAGGAAGAGGAAGGAGAATCATCGAAGCGTGCAATCAATATCGGCACACCCTCCCACTCAGATCAGACGCGCTCCTGAGCGTCTTTACAATATCAGAAAAAAACATTGCAATGAAACAATATCGTAACAGAATATAAAAAATTGATAATTTTGAACATTATCACAATAAAAAGTCGGATACACACGACATCAATCATTGACACTATTACAATCGCTTGAACATTTTTTTTTTTT